ATCAGTATAATCAGGGTGATCTCCTTGCGGAGATCAAAAGGGGGAATGCAAAATTTCATAAATAAGGGAAAATATTACTAATCAGTATAATCAGGGTGATCTCCTTGCGGAGATCAAAAGGGGGAATGCAAAATTTCATAAATAAGGGAAAATATTACTAATCAGTATAATCAGGGTGATCTCCTTGCGGAGATCAAAAGGGGGAAATTGAGGGAATAATTTTATAAGGGGAAATAATAATAATAATAATAATAATAATTGGTACTTTATTGATCCCCATGGGGAAATTGTTTTTACGCCTCCCTCAACTTGCTCTTTGTAGAGCAAGCTGTCCGCGAAGGGCAGCCACCCGTAGCGGCGCCCAGGGAGCTGGGGGTTAAGGGCCTTGCTCAAGGACCCGCAGACGTGCTGAGGCTGGGCTTGAACCGGCGACCTTGTGATTACAGGCACACGGCTTAGCCCACTGAGAAATAAAGGGAATGATTCTATAAGGCTGTAACTAATCAAAACGAGAACTGACTGGCGTGCCGGCAAGGCAAGGCTACCTAATCGGAACAGATAGGGGGGGCGACAGAGAATATCAGCGGCCCCTACTTATCTTTTAGCCTTCCAGAAGGACAACTATGAGCCGGCTAATGAGGGCAAGTGTCAAACATGTGGTTGTCACGTACAGTAGACGGAAGGTACCGAGAAAGGGGGGGGGAGATGCCCAAAGGGCTTTAAAAGGGATACAGCTGATACATATGGCAGAGCCTCCTCCTGTACATGCTGAATGTATGTCAGACGGCTGCTCCCTGATTATAATCAGTCAAGAGAATAAACCGGTGATTTGCAACTTCTCCCCGTGTCAGCTGTGAATCTCTTCTCATCCACGGACCCGGTGGAGATGGCGTGCTCCAACAGGTTAGAGCTGAGGTCCCTTGGCCCAGCCACGAGAGCGTGCTGCTTCCAGTGGGACAGCCTGGCCCTCCACGGCTGGTTGCTGTATCAGCACTGGCACTGGCATGGGCAACTGCTGGTCCCAGAGTCACTCAGAGGGGCAGTGATGAGGTTTGGACATAGAGCTGCACGTTCACTGCTGAGATGTTTGCAAGGCTTGCAAAGGCACCAAGTGGCCTGAGGTGTACGCAGTGCCGGAGCAGAGTGCCGCTGTGTCTGTAGGTTTGAGTCCTGGAAGAACTCCACATTTACCGGGGGGGGACTTTCAGTCCACCTCGTGGCAGATGGGCATCCATAAGACCCGCATCACCTCTCTGTACCCCTAGAGTGATGGCCTGGTAGAATGGTTCGACCAGATCCTGACCATTCAACTTGAAATCCTGACCTGCAAGCACTAGTGTGATTTGGATCAGCACCTCCCACTGACCCCGTGGGCCTGCAGGACAGCGGTACAGGAAATGACCAGGTTCACCCCTGTCATGCTGATGCTGGGCTAGGACTGGTGCACTAGGGAGTTCACCAGGAACATAGTTTGTCACCAATCTCGAGCATGTGAGGGACCTGAAGTGGTCCCTGTAGGTTACCCACCACCTCACCCACCATCAGCTGACTGCTGCGGGCTGGAGACAGAAGCAGGCGTTTGACATGCACTGTTAGGGAGCTCTGCTGGACATCGGGGTGGCTGTGTGGCTGTATAATCTCTGCCAGTGCAAGAGATTTTGTTGGATTGCTGGCAGATACTGTGTGTAGTGTTGAGTCAATTCACTGAGGTGGTATAACATGTCTGGACTGGCCCCAGGACCTGGTCTGTCATCATGCACTGGGACACACTGGCCCTGTACCACTGGGAGGACATCCGGTCCCCAGTGTCTACTAGTAGCCCGGCTTCTCCATTACTTGAATATTTGAAGCATTAGATCAGCCAGTGAATTCTCTAAAATAGGTCAAAGGTGCTTCAGTTGGAAAGCATATATTATAGTTTTTTTTTTTTTGATTGCTTTGGAGCATTTCTGAAATGACAATTAACATTTGCAAAACAACAAGAGTGCAAGAATGTAATTTCTCATTGCTTCACACAAATTTCCAAATGTTTTAGTAGATACATGTAAATGGATTTGTACAATTGCCATCATTTGGCACAATTTTCAGTTGTTATAATCTTGTTGGACAAAACAGATTATGTATTTTCCCACGCAATACTTTAAATGTCCATGTATCTGATCCACCACATGCAAAACAATTAACCAAGTTTTCAGAATGACTTAAGTAGGATAAATGAATGAGGAAAATGAATGAGCAAAATCTCTATCACTTCTTCTATTCTGCCTGTGAGTGGATGTTCTGTAAAGAAAAAATTGTGTGCATTTTACAATGTGGGAAGATGTGTAAAAGAACCTGAGTGATGACTGAAATTAAGCTTTTTGAAGCACTAATACATTGTTACCAAATAGTCCTAAAAGAGTGGTGCAGCGGTTAATACCTAATATTATATAATAACCTAATACCTCTGGGACCTGGGTTCCCCATGTCGTTTTGGGGTTTCCCCCCACTGTCCAAAACATGCTGAGGCTAATTGGAGTTGCCAAATTTCCCATAAATGTGAGTGAATGGTGTGCAACTGTGCCTTGTGGTGGGTTGGTGCCCCATCCTGGGTTGTTCCCTGCCTTGCACCCATAGCCTCTGGGATAGTTCCCCTCTGACCCTGAATAGGACAAGCAGTTTCAAAAGATGGATGGATAGTTCTAAAAGAGGTTTATTAAGGTGAAGCTTCTGAAACCTATTGTGACATTGACATCTGCTGGACAAAGTAAAGTAATGCACCCAATGCTGCTGACAAAACACCCAAATCATTTTCAGAATTGCCAAGTGTGTATTTTATGACAAAATGTACATTTCAACACTCAGAAATCAGGGAGCAGAGAGCACAATATGAGTACAAGAAGTGGCTGCATTTGTGGAGTTCTTTGGATTGAAGCTGATGGTTGCTTGGACAGTGTTTTCGTATTTCCAGTTACATACATCAGGCTGCTTTTTTGTAAATGAACCTGTCTTTATTGCTTGTCATTTTTCTATGCTGCTGTTGTTGTTGTTCAGAATCAGTTTTATTGACCAAATAAGGCGACACAAGGAATTTGATTTGATGTTTCGCTCCAATTCAAACAAGAAAATAAACATTAAATAATTAAATAAAGTGGGCATAAAATAAAATACAGGTATAATAAAAACTCTACTGCAATACTGCTAATTGTAAATATATATATATTCTAGATGTCTATACAAACTAGTTGCAACCAAAATGAGACAGTGGAATACAGTTTTTCTCGATTGCTTTGGCACATTTCATGCAACATACTTAACATTCTCAAGTCGATAAGAGCATTTCTCATAATAGTTCATGTATATTGCACAACATTTTGGTTTACCTGCAATAGCTTGCAACTTACCCAAAACAATGAACTCATGTCTCAAAAGCAAATAATTCCACTGAATTAGTCAGTGCACCAATCTGCATCGTTTTAACAATGAGAGTCAAAATTCTTAGACGTACTGTCAAAACTTCAGTGTGAGTATGCTTATAAGCTCCAAGAATCTGGGGCGCGTTTCCCGATAACGATGACTCTTAGCATATTACGAAAACTCCAAATATAGATGTTAAGAAAGGTATTTGTCTTCCTACGTCTCTGTCCCAAACAGTCAAAGAGGTTGTTTAAGGGAGAGCTTCTTACAGTAAGTGCGGCCTTAATAGACGCCGGAACACCTGATTGTTTGACATCGATGGCTCGAGAATTGATTATTCCCTCCATGGAGAAACTGCTTGACTCCCGCCTGAGAAAAAGTGCTGATCTTTATAAATGTAACACAACAGAAATCCTTCAAAATACTGCATTAATCAGAACTGGGAGAGGCTAAAAATAAATTACAAAATTAACAAACTGAATTATTTAATCGTAAATGTGTTTTTTTTTCCACTGATTGGGTACACGAATCCGCCACCCCAGATTGTAGTATCTATCACGAACTCGGGGCATGGTACATGCAGGAAAAAAGGTGACGATCCACTTGTAACTCCAGAAAACAGGGGTTTATTTCAGATATCGAAAACACTGGGAACGCTACAAACAAAAGGACCACGAGGGGTCAAAACTAAAAAGGGGTACAAAATAAACTAAAAGAACCAAAAAGACCTACAAGAAAACTGGTAATACGGTGAACAGGCAGGGAAGCACACACATAGCAAAACAAAATAACCAACATCACAGAATCATGAAAACACAGTCAATGACTCCACCAGGGTACAGAACAGGATTAGGTACTTAAATACATAAATACAGAGGGCTAACAAGACAATGCAGGACAGGTGAGAAAAATCAACAAGGGCTGGCACAAGATAACGGGCAACAGGTAGAACTAATAATAACACAGGTCTACAACCAAAAAACTGCATAGGATTTTTTTGACTGTTTCTTATAGATTTTTACTCAATGAAACCGGGAAAAATATTTAAAAAAAATCCTCGTCAGGATTTCTTGCAAAACTCATGTTTTTAGTTTGATTAAAAATTTCCCTTTTTAAACTGAAATCTGGTATCCTATTCTTGAGTCAAAAAACCATATCCAATAATGATTTCTTACATTAATTTAATATTTCTAAGAGTGAAACTCAAGAGAAATGCAAATAGAAAATGCGAGGAATTGAGGGGGGTCAGTAGGAGGGGGGGGTACAGGTTTTTGGGGGATACTAAAGACCCTCTCCACAAAACCACTGTACAACACGTTGGCTGCGTATGAAGCTCAAAGATGCAGGATGAGCAAAACAGTTAATTTCCTACACTCCCATATTGACTGTTTTCCCGAAAACTTATGAGCCTATAGTGAAGAGCAGGGTGAAAGATTTCACCAGGATGTTTGTGAAATCGAGAGACGATACCAAGGAAGATGGGACGTCAACATGCTAGCTGACTACTGTTGGATGCTCAGGCGGGAAACAGAAGATGGAAAGCGAAAGCGTGTTCGGAGGAGCATCAAAGAGAAGAAGAAAAGGTTTCACAGACAAAAAGAGTAAACATGTAGTGGTAAATATGTCATGAAGGAATAGTTTTTTGTTTCTTTTTTTCAATTATAAGAAAAATTATGCATAGTAAATTGTAATAAAATATTGATTTTTTTCATCGCTGTTGTGCTTTTTTAATGTAAACTCCTCATGTGTTGCAAAAAACTGTACGTGATGGAAGGAAATGGAGGTCATTTTTGTATTCAGCACCCTAAAAAACATAAAATTTACCAAAAATATCCCATGCAGCTGAAATTTTTTTTTTTGCAGACCTGTAATTAAACACAGACACTAGAGAGCTTAACAAATACCAAAAACTAGAAAACATTAACTGAGAATAAAACACTAAGAACAGAACATAAAGATAATTAAACAGAACCAAAAAGGAACAAAACAGAACACAAGCTGGGAAAACCCGGATCAAGAAAACTAATACAAATGAAGCACTAGGGAACAAAATCTAATTAATACAAAAACAGAAGGGGAAGGATTCAAACTCACAACTAGAGGGTTTATACAGTAGGCACACGCTCAGCCCATAGAACCATGCAGCAGTCCAGGAAAGTGGGGAAACACACTAAGGACTTTGACAACAGAGAGGACAGGATGGCCAGTGACACCTGCTGGCCAAATGGGGAGGGACATGAAAGGTTGAGGAGGACAGGTGCTGACCCTGGCATTACCCCCCACCAAACGCACGAACACCAGGGTGCTGGAAGGAGGACGGGTGTTGACCCTGACAGTATCACCCACATTTAGCCCTGACGTCCTTAAATCCAACAAGTTATCAGACTAAGCAAGAAATCCTGCTTTGTGGAATACCCCTTATGCCTTATTAGTATTGCTGTGTTCCATTTACTTCAGAGGTTGGAACTCGGAACTGGGAATGACATTATATATGAGTTAAAGGTGTTCCAGTGCAGGAAGTTGGAAAGCCATTTAGCAATACCAGGGACCTGTTTCAAAAAGCAAGATTTCTTGCTTAGCCAGATAACCTGTTAGATTTAATTTGCCTGTTTAAATAGCCTTTATCTTCGTTGACTTATATTTAGCCCAGAGTACCTTAAATCCAACAAATTATCCCACTAAGCAAGAAGTCTTGCTTTCTGAAAAAGGCCCCAGTTCTAGCCCAGATAATTGGTAGTCATTGTTAGCAATATCAATTGATAACAACACATTATGTAGTATTTTGTGCATAAAAACACCATAGTAACACATCCAGTTAGCAGTTGACAGTACTCAATGTATGACTGAGTCACAAATAAAACATAAGTGCTGATAAACAGTGTAAAACTACAGCTTTAACTTTTGATGATAAAGGGTGCAGCCATTTTGAATTCTGAGCTCAGGGTCGTGTAGATTCCTCCGAGTTCATGAGTCGGAACTCCAACTTCAGAGGGTGTTCCAGTTGAAATTTGCGACAAAGAACTTGGAATATCCGAGTTATGAGTTGCAGCATATTGCTGCTATGTCTCCTCACTGCCCCAGCTGACCTCATGGCTAATGTTTATATATTCTGGGATTTGTCACTTTGTGAGGTACAATTCCAGGTATTACACTTTGGCTGCTATTTGGTTGTCTATATAGAGTAAATTGCTTATTTAAGGGATAAACCACAATGAGGTACGCAGTTATACAATAACAATCAATGATAACTTGCTGTAATCTGTCCTAACGTGACTTACGCCATTGCTATCTAACGTAAAATAACAGAATAAACTAGTTACGGTTAATTTTTCAGAAGAAAATGATTTCAGACTATATATAAACAAACTAGAAGAGCAGATCCATGTTGAAATATTATAAATATATTTCTTTTAAAAACATTGTGATTGGAAAATGACATGAATGATAGGAACTTTTATACTTTTATAACTGACTTTTTATTATTTTGAAATAACGATGATTTTTTTTTGCTTTTTTAATTTTTTTTACTTCAGAAACTGCATATAGGTCCTAGGATACTCATATTTAACAAGCAACAATATACCTAACAATAAAGCATGTATAAGTATCACTAAAATAAGGATAAATTAAGTAATTTGCAAAAACAACAAAAAATGGTAATACCGCATTTCACCATGACAGCCCTACTCTGTCAGTGTAGTGTCAAATGCTTGATTTTTCCAGTCCTATTACACAGCATTTACAACAGTAGTAACCCAATATGGAACAATATGTTAGTTGAAGAATAAACACTTTATGTAAATGTTTATGCGGGTATGTATTAAATTCTATAGAATTTTAAATTTGTCAATAAGGTATTGTGTTATGATGGCAATAAATTCATTTTGGGGCTTGTAGTGCAAGAATGGATTATTAACTGTTCAGTCAAAACATCCTACCTTATCGCAATTTATCATTTAACTTCTGGTTTAAGAAATCTGCTGAATAACTTCACAAAATTCACACTGGTTTACTTTATTTGAATGTATTAAAATCATCCTACCATCTTCTTTGTTATGAGGTCTGGAGCTTCTGAGACAGCACAGAGCAAACGGCCCTTTGATACAAAGTTTTACAACTTTAAAAGTTGATGTCATTTGATTTCAGGTGTTGGGCAGCTCATCAGTTTGTTAGTCTGTGCCATTCTATGATTTTACAGGTGCTTTTTGCCAACTTTTTCTGTTCCCACTGGACATATTTTGCTATGTTTTTGGACTCTGTTTACTAAGGAATATTTTTACATGATGTCATTTTTGTCACTGATGGACCTGCAGTTAATTACCAAACTAGTCAGAATTGTATTCGATAGCTTGCATTGGAAACTCATATGTTGTCAAGTACTGATTTGTTATTCCTGTTTTACTGTTACCCTGTATTGGAATTTCAGTTTAATATGACTCTATGTATCTACATTTTTATCAGTGACTAAGATTTAGCTTCAAATTTGAAGGCTTTTCCCCAATATGTTACCATTAATTTTACCTGTAATTTAGATACCCTTTTCTACATGTCATTCTTTAGTGCGTTGTACAAAACTTTAATAAAAATACTACTTCTCAGCTTCCTTCTCATAAATGAGGCTTATGCTCACATGCATCACAGGAAATGAAATATTGACTGTACAGATTATGTACATGGCATGATGTGTCAAAGTGACATCTTCCCACTTTTGCACATGGGCAAAATTGATAAGAAAAAGCATAAAAATCAACTTTGTTTTTCCATACCTTTCATGGTAGGTATTTAACGACAAAGAGACCACACACATTATTTTACTTCAGTTTTTATTAGCTGTAGATTGCGCATTAAACGTGCATTGTTACAGAGGTGAATAAATGGTTCTTGAGATTGTGATGATACTTTGCATAGATACGCTGTTACTAGTAATGATAGCACTTTTTCCTTTTTTTTAAAGAACCAGAATTTTTCTAGTTGATTTCTTTCATTCATGTTTTCAGAAGCGCAAAGGATAAATCCTATTGCTTAACAAGATGGGACAATGTGCATGAGCATACTTTTGGTTCTGTGTCCGGAACTCAAAAATACATATTTAATGATTTGGCTATGTGCACCACAGTGGCCTTCAGTTATTTTTTAATTGGGTTGAGGACATTTCCATGAATTTATTTAGCTAATAAGGACTTTCAAAAAGTCAATTTATGAGTCTAATGGCCCTTGCTCTCTTGTCCTACTCACGGTTATTTCTTTTAAATGTGACTTTTTTTAGTTATGAATAACAAATGAAGAAAAGTCTTGCATAGAGTTGAGCTTTCACATAGGCACTGCCAAAAATGTCATTCCTTTGAACTCTTATGAGTACAAGACAGCAAAGTAAAGACATGCAGCGGCCATGTTCCTCAGCACAAGTGTCAGTAGATGAAAACATGAAAATTTGGCCAGATTAAATCTGATTGATTGAGGTTTTTAAAAAATTATGAAAATGTTACCTTTTGTATTGCATGAGAAAAGCATCCTTACAAATGTATATAAACATGTATATACAATATCCAAAGCTTGGGTAATATTTTATAAATCTATTATGAAAACCAAAAAAATGATTTAGATTATGCACAACAGAAAATATTAAACTTCGTGAAACATGATAAAACTGCCATTTTAATTGTGTGTAGCCTTCTACCATATACAGTATCTTTACACCAGTACCCATGCAATGTATAGCACTGATTTCAATGGTAGGTCTTTTTCATTATTACTTACTTTCTAATAAAGTGTCAAGTTTTGGAAATATACAAAAACCATTTACACATTTAAGGAATCACAGAGAAGCCTAACAAATAATTCAAAGGTAACGCTCCTCAAATTCTGCAAAATACATTCATGCTATATTAACAAAATGTTTTAAAAAAACGTGTCATATTGAACTTGGCACATTAATGAACAAACAAGTTTTATGCCAGCAACAGCTCTGATATAAATGCACATTAATTAGCCTAAGAAATGACCACGCATGCTAAAAGCATGAGTAAATTAAAAATATTAGCCATGTAATGTAATCACAATTACTTTGGTATTTTCTTGAGTGTACAAAAAAACACTAATATGCAAGACCTTTAATTTTCAAAGTAAACACGCAGACATCGGGGGCAACCCTCTGTATTACTTTGTGAAAGTGAAATTATAATATCCAATTGATCCATAACAATTATGGATACAAATTAAAGCTTTATTCCTTAAATTTCATGTTAAATCCTAAATGGAAGAACTGAACATGGCAATGATTGGCTGTGGAATATATATCCTATCTGAAGTTGGCTTGCAAGAATTTAAAACACTTGGAGCTTTGCAATGGTTTCAAGGCCAGATGAAGTGTACTCTTCATTTAAATGCATGATGAACTTCTCAGTAAAAGATGTTTCAAAATCACTCCCTAAGAACAGGAAAAAAATTAAAGCAAAACGCTCTAGTATGGACTACTTGATAAAATATAGATGAATAGATATATCTTTTAAGGACTTGTCTTTCAGATCAACAATCTACAATTTTTAAAGTGGCGACAACCCAATTTTAAGATAAACAAATGGAAAACTCATTTTAGTAGAAATGTCTCTTGGAACATGCGTAGAGTATATTTTGAAAAGAGCTTTCCAGCAGAGTAAGGCACAATCATTATTTAGTATCCGACAAACCAGGTGGATGAAATGAGCTCCAGTCACATGTGGCATTTTGTTGAAAAATACACAGAATGTGATTCAGATACTTTATGTTCTTTAATACATATAAAATGGTTTCCATTTTTAAATGGTGTACTTATGCTCTGAATATCATAGATATATTTAAATTGCTTAAACATGTAAAAGTTATTTTCAGGCATATTATATGGTAGATAGCATTGAAAGAACTTTTAATGCATTTCAAGATATCAAAATGACAATTTGACCTGCCTGTGAATTGGCTTGCCTAGTCAATCCTGAGATACTACAGCAGTAGAATTTCTTGGAACAAAAAAAGTAATTGTCGGATGCTATAAGCAATGATTTAGCAATATTAAAAATGCAATGCATTGACAATACATGATTAATGAGGGGGAAACTTAACAATAGCAGAATGAATGAATAATAAACATTTGACCTAAACTATAAATTACTTTGGGAGAAAATGGATTGATAAAGATTTTTTTAAGTGACCAAGCATTCAAATGCAATTTTAACATGGTGAATGAAGTTTTTTTCTTTCCTTCTGGCTGAATGAAGTCATTAAGGAAGAAAAATATCCATTACATTTATTAGTCACGGCCTGAAGTACATTATGAGGGAAAACTTACAAAGCGGTCTTAAGTGATCTTGCTTTAATTGGAAAAGTGAAATCAGAAACACCCAAGTTTGGTATATGATAATTTTCTCAAGTCCCTCTGTAACCATTCCCAACTGCTTAAAGAAAAAAAAATTCACAAAGGACTTTATGCATATATAAATTTTTAACTTGGGAAACATACATGGAATGAATATAATTTCTATGTGTGAAACAGTTTAGTTTGGATAAACCGAGGCTTGTACTTATTCAAGGCCAAAGGTACTTGTTTCCTCCACAGCCGTCAGCATTTTCTCATATAACATGGAGAATGATGGATATGCAGGGAGATCCAGGCGGTTGAAACAGGTATGAGCCCTTAAAACACACAAACATTATGTAATTTAACATTGCGCTGTAGAAAACGACAACCATAAATGTCAGGTTCACTATATAGAAAGTTGACAGACAATACCTAGGAAGTGCTGTAATTTTCCCCCATTTCTCCACGCAAAAGCGACGAGGACCATTGCTGCCTCGCAGAGCGGCAAACCCTTCATATGGAATGCTGGATGTGCCTGTCACAAACTGAAAAGACACAGATAGAGCAGCACCTATTTACATACAGCGATCACTATAGCAGGAAAAAAATGAAAAGGGGAGAAGTCTTAAAAAAAATAGCTTTAAAAGATTGTCATTGGAGGTTTTACTTATAAGCCAGGGACCTCACATTGTATCCTGACAGCTACAGGACTTTCACATTCCCACATTCCCACAGTCAAATGACAAAGCTAATTCACCTCAGCTTCGACAACTGAATAAAAGCAATAAGCTACTTTGCACATTTTTGTCAAAGTTTGGTTATTTAAGCGTAATTAATACAGTGTCACAATTTCTTTCATCAGAAATGTCCCTGCCGACTGTGCATGTGCAGCCCAGATTTTTTGCGTGTTGTTGTCATTGACTGCCATGTGCCATGATCTGAGTGCATTGCTAGCTGTTTCCAGTAAATAGAATCTGCTGGTCTGGTGGAATATCTATGCTGTTCGCTTGCAGTGTTAATTTTGTTAAAAAAATGTTGTTGTCATTATATTCAGCGACCTTTATTTTCAGACTAAAACGAGACGATAACTAAAAAATGATTTTGCGAGGCCTAAGATTGTGATGAAATATATTGACACTTTTGTCAATGAATAAAAATGAGATGAAAATGTTTGCCAGAGATGAGATACAATCAGAACTAATGTAGTTTGCGTAAGGCAGGGGTTCAACTAAAATTTAAAGAGATCCAGTTAGAGAAAATTTCTTGAAGCAAAGGTCCGGAAGATCATAATGTCCAACTATTTAGTGTGATATATATTTAAGTAGCCTAGTAGTTGTATCAACATTGCTTATAATCAAAACCCGACAGTCAAATCAAATTAATTCAGTACAATTCAAAAACTTGACAACATTTATTGTCACATGACATAGAGCTGAACATATATGTATGACTGCCAATATTTATAATGTTTTCTCATTTACTAGTTTTAAAAGTACATTTTAAAAGTAGGGGCTGCATTTCAAAATAAGATACAATAAATAAAATGTGAAAATTATGCATTTTTAAATAAAGTGCTTAACTTAAGCCGTAAAACCCTAATACAGTTGTGTTTATGTCATATATTTTAGTATTCATGGATTTAAGTATTGGTTTCGATAATCCCACACCGGTAATAAAATTCGTTTTAATATAAATACATACAAACTTATCACATCAATTGCTATTAGAGTAGGATATTAAGTAGGACATGTTAAGTCTTTCTCATATTAGCTTTATATTTGTCGGAGTAACAACACAAATGGAATGACAAGCCGTTTCAGGTGAAAACAAGTGCATTTTACTTTTCATTTCAAATAAAATGCGGGGTTGCCAACTTCGGCCAGCTGGCTGGAGTAAGATTTTCAGTTCGAGATGTCTGCACGCAAATGTAACAGTTCTTACCTTGTAAATAGTCTGCTTTTGTATTTAACCGTGTAAATACACTTTTGACGTAGCTAATTTTAGGTTTATAATGGAATAATATAGATTTGCCGTAAGATGTCCTGCGTGAGTCTGAAAGCGTGAGTGTCATGCCAGATGCTTGAGACTTGGCAACCCTGAAAACGTACATTTTTTGTTTCACCCGAGTTGACTTATATAACAAATAACATTACTTTATACATTTGTTAAAAAGCGGAAACTTCAACGAACATGAAATCACCTGAAAGAGAGGAGAGTTCATTTTTGGCTCTATACACTATAGAATTGTAGCCTTGGGGTAATTATTTTGATGTTGAAAATGCTAAAATACAATGGTTGCACTTCCTGCTACTGATAGCCAATGAGAAGTATGTTTTCAATGTTTGAATTTTTTTTTCTTGATGATGGGTATAAATCCCTGATACCATTGATCTTTTTCTTTGAACATATTTGAGAATTTTTACATTTTTATTTTAATATTTAGAGAGCGCAGTCCTGGTGGCTTTATAGCCTATGCACTTTTTCTTTGAAGTAATTTTATTATTGCACTAATGGCACAACTGATTTTACAGTACTCAGTTTCCGGGTAAATAAACATATGTTTGTTTCTCAAATAAGAGTGAAATCTATGTATTTGTGCACTGCACAGTCAGACCTTAATATCATTCCTGAACATTGGTTTCATTTCATCTTGGTGAACATAATGACTTTCAGAAATTGAAGGGAAACTTTAAACATTATACTTTGCACTTTAAATTTTAGTCGACTAAATCAACCGTAATTTTAGTCGACTGTAATCTTATGATATTTAGTCAACTAAAACTAGAATAAAACTAAAATAATTTAGATGACTAAATTATGACAAACTAAATTACATTTTAGTCAAAAGACTATCACTAAAACTAAATAAAAATTTGGTGTCAAAATTAACACTGTTCGCTTGTACCAACTGCAATCATATGCATACTAAGAAAATGTAGCATGTATGCAAAAGTCTGCACGCTTGACCATGCATGGATCATAATGGCATGCAGACAAGTGAAGTATGAGCTATGGATTAGTTTGCAAGTCGTGAAATTATTTCAATAATGATATAGGTAGGTGGGTTATGTATGGCTATAGTCCCATCTACTTAGATATACATTTTTGTCATAAACAAAATAGTGATATTTTCCTTTGCTACAAGCCAGTGTCTACGACCATCATCTAACCATTGCTGGTTTACAGAATTAGATCATATCTCCTGATATAGGATACATTCTAAAAACAGTAATTCAAAGCTTACTAGGCAATTGAGCTGTAGTATTTCCATACAGATATAAAGAAAATGTACTACTTTAGAAAAAATCTAATTAATCTTTAGCTGCGCATTAAAACATTTATGAAATACCTGCAAGAGTCTCAGTCTCTGCTCATTGTTGAATCTCTCCACAGCAGCCCAAAACCAGCGAATTACAATGTGGTTGTCATGGTATCCTGCAAAGAAAGATGCAGGCACTCATGAAGTGTGTTTAGGACTGAATTACATTTATTGTAATATATATTGGCTTCAATTCTTTCCATTTTGAAAAGAAACATTATAGTATAAATGGTTTCACCCTTAATTCACTACAGATGAGTGCTTGTTGAAATCCTAGCCTCTACATACCTCCTCTGTATTCTGTGTTGCTCCTCCAGTCTCCAAGGTCAATTTCTGCAGTTCCAGCAATTACCAGCTCCAGTTCCCGGGCATCAAAGACTGATACCAACCTAGCATCCACTACCTAAGACCCAGAAAGCATGTAAATTACTATTATGACACAAAATTAAGTGTGCCAATATCTCATTAGCAATTCTGTCATGACTAACACTGTTTACTATCAGTAATGTTGACAGTTATATTTTTCTATCATGATTGTGACCAAGCATAAACAACCACATCATACCTCATTACTAACACAATGGCTTACCTCATAGAAGCCTCTTACAAGACTTTCAGTCTGCTGCACAACACCCCTCTCAATTCGCCACTTCACCATACGTTCAATATATTCTTTCTTGTTCTTTTCTGATACAGGTATGTTGGCCCCACCAGGCTTCAGTTCCCGCTCTGTGATCTATTATCCAGCCACATGCACACATTAGTGTGATGTTTACAGTAATGTTACATAATATTACATAAAACAGTTTCTCTGGTTAGAAAGCCAGTAACACAATGTACATTAATGAGGCACTTTTATGTCAGTTTGTGTCACTATACAGGGCTCCAGACTGTCTTTCTCCACTTGCAAAACTGGTGCTTCAGTTTTGTGTAGGAGCACCAACACAAAATTTAAGGTCAAATATTAAAGCGACACACCATGGGGGAAAAAATTTGGATGGGGGAAGTGATTTGGCATGAAATCCACATGCAACCAATTTTAGCTGTATTATTGATAAATACTTTGGAAATAAATATACAATTGACAGAAACAACAATGTGATGTTTTATTTTAAAGGAAAAAGTCAAACATTAGTAGTGCTTAGGAGGAAAAAAATATTAAGTTAAATGCTGCTTTAAAAAAACAACCGCCAAACAATAAATCTACAAAGGTGAACATAAGGTATGTGGTCAGCCATTATCCCGTCAGTGCATCTGTCCCTGCATAGATTATGCTTCAAGCTGATGTGCTTTACTAGTGTTTCTTTAGGCACTTTGCAATCGAAATTCAGGAACCTAGGGCCTCTTTTATAAAGGCTTAGTACAAACAAAACAGCCGTGAAACATTCATATTCACATTTACATAATGATTTTTGGATTTATAAAGGCACAACAATTAAAACAAACCCTGAAAAAGTTTGCACATTTACAAATGTTCCGGAAAAGTCATACAAAAGTTTTGGAGGAACGTCTAGAGGTCAGATGGAAATGTACATCTTATTTTGTTAGTTAATTCTGAGTTAGCTAGTGAAATGTATGTTAATATAAAAACTATTAAGTAACACTGAGCATTTGTTTGTTTATGAATAAATTTATATATACCAATATGTTTATTGTGTGGAATTTAAGTTAGATCTGCGTGTAGTACTGTATGCCTACTGAAAAATATAAGCACCAGCATGTAAAATGACCCCTTCATATTTGAGTTGACCCTGAACAATTAAATGGAAATGTTCTTGGAGCTTGCCGAAAGATTGCTGAAACTCACACATGATGCGTGAGCCAAAAACAAGACTCAACTGTTTTGGATCACATAAAATCATATAATATTTGAATATTAGTAATATATAATATTTTAGTGTAAGTCTGGCTATGCAACCAGCCTCTTGGCAATCAGCCTCACTCCTATGCTAGCTGTCTTTATGTATGTCAGTTTTAAACCTTTCAGTGGCATTAATTGTGCATTTTTAGTAATGGGTCCAAAACATATTGCACCCACTGCATACAATAGTAACTTTATACATAATTTAGATGGTTTGTATATTATATAAAAAGTTTAAATAGGAAATGACAAAGTAGTCTGATATGCACAGCGTACAGTACAGTGTTGTTTAGAAATTGGTAATAAATAGACTTTTTATGCTACTGCTCAGGTTAGCAGACTGTTATGAGTTGAGTTTAGGGGTACCCAAGTATTATTCACGAATTTTAACATTCACACGGATTTTTCACCCATGGGTCATTCCACGGAATTGGTACTTTTTGCGTCTCCAAGAAATCATCAGTTGTAATATTACTGTAACACTTAAATATGTAATTCAAAAATAGAACATTACCAAAAAATACATATCAACTTATCAAAATAATGGAAAATGCTTAATTTACAGGGAGTTGCATCATATCTAAACTAGGATGCCTAGTAAGTTTCTCTTATCTGTAATGTACTTTTTTGGATTTTTTTAAGGTTTAATGGGGGGGGGGCAGCATACTGATACCATTTTTTTTTTACATATAAATCTAAAGTTTTATAATTAATACATACAATGTTCATAATTAATACATACAATAATATCCATTCTAAGTAAACAGCAAGAGCTTTTGTAACCTTGACCTTTCAGCTAGCAATGAGCAAAATACCAGGTTTTAACATGTGACAGGAATGGCACAGATCGATGCCCTAGTTGTCTTTAAAGGTTAGATATATAAAATTAAAACATTTTTAAAGGTCATCATGTGTACATTATTAAGCTAATATCCATATCATTCAGGGAGGGTAGCATATGAGCACTGGCTACATTTTAGTAGTACTGCAAGATTTACATGCACCTTGTAGATATTTCATGTAGTGATCCTATTCAGTTTATTGCCATATTTACATAGAAATATGTAGTTTGTCGATTGTTCTATATTAACACTGTAATCCTTTTACAGATCTTAGTAATATGCCACTAACTACAGCTTTCTCGCTGACATAGATGCAGATCCTTAATGAAGGGCAAAGTACCTCGAATAGGAAAAGAAGAAATGGAAGAGACAGCATTTTGGTAAAAATGTAAAAAATGAATTCAAATGGCCTCTTTTTCCATTGTAATTTATACTATATTTTGGACTGGACCATTGTCAAGGTTTATCCTCTAAGAATACATTTTTTTCTTAAGTGACAAGTGATCGGCATCCAAAATTAAGGTGCTCTTAATCATTTCAATGAAAAAGTATCATAAAGGAAAAAAATACATATCTGAAAATAAACTATAACGAGGGACTTAAGTACTGTTCATGTATCTGCAATATATCACATATTTCTAATTAGAAATATAGACATAGTAATGCCTATGTCTGTAACAGGGTTGACAAAACTATCAAAACCTTTAAATCATAAAATATTATACAGTCTGAGATGATGTGATACAATTTTATGTAATTTTAAGATGTCTTGCCACCTGACTATTTAAAAAACTGGTGATTTAAGATATTTTAAATTTCGAAAAAGGCACTGATTTCGTGGAATAACCCCCTAATCCTCGAAGGTGATGGGGGAACCCCCATTTCATGAACTACATATAGAAGAGGAACACTGGCTTGTTGAACTGACCGCATGAACTGCAGCAGTCACATGCTGCCATTTTTGTCATAATGGCAGTTGTACTACCAGATGGAAATAGTTTGGCGTTCGTCTACTTCGTACACTATAAAATCTGCACTTCACATTCAGAGAAATTCTTTTTCTCACTAATTTGTAGTTACATTGTCTCTGAAATGGTGTTGCAAACGTAGGTTGCGCACATTTTTATACATGTGGTTAATTTGCATTGCTAATGTAGGGTAATTAATGGATGGGAATGGGCCAGTCTCTTAAGAGCAGACACGTGTGAATGTTTCTATGATACATGGGGTTTATGACCTGTACAATGCATATCACGGTTTATGCATGGTTTTATAAATCTGACTTTTACTTTTCATAAGAAGGGCGACTTTTTGTATGAACATAATCTGTCCTGCAAGAGTTTCTGAATATCCTTTATAAATGAGGCCCCTAGTTCCTGGTTCCTTGTTAGTGGCCCATTTGGACTGGGAACTTTTGTAGCTCCTAGTCACTTTCGTGTGTTGCTTTCCCACAGCATACCAGAAACTGGGACCTTTATGCTAAACAAGCATGGGAGACTCATGAAGCTTGTATTTTAAACTTCACATATAATCTTATAGGAAATTTCATCTTGTTAGTAATTTGTTAGTTACTCTGGAGATCTATCGTGATCATAACGGGGCACAGTCTTTTATCTATATTTATACGACCTTCAACAAATTTGTAATTCATTATTAAATCTGGCCAGCAGATCAATCTTTGATTTTCCACTGAATAAAAAATTATGTAATGTTATTCTGCTAATAAACGCTAGCAAGTTTCACTGCCAGCACCGGCAATATTAGACAAAGGTACAGTATATCGGTTATCGATCAAATTTTCCGAAAAAGAAATACAGACGTGAGCAAAAAGGTATTAAATGTTATTAAATGGTATTAAATTAATAACATATTAAATGTAACTGAGGTGCAAAAATAATCTGCTCAGTTTTTGTTCTGCTAGATCTGTCTTGTTTCCCTGCACTTCTGCGTAATTTCCAAGTTAGAGCCTTGCCTGTGGTTAACCAATGAGCAAGTTATCGCTGTATGTCCCACCTCAGTAGTGACTCTGAGGAACAACAATCGGATCAACTTCCTAATACCAACAGATGTTCCTGTTTCTGGAAAAAAAGATCCTGTGGTGGGAAAGTGCCGTATCTTGCTCACATGCACATACACACAAGCACACACACACACACACCAAGTCTTGTTCTCCCAGGGTGATTCACGTGATAATGGTTTCAAAAAAATGTGGGGCATATTTTCAAATTGCACTGGTGCACCTAGTTATAACAATTAGTCGCACCGTCTCCAAAAATGGTCACAAAATGCGACTAAATGGTTGTACTCTGGAGCCCTGATACATATATGCCACATGCTCTACATTTCCCCATGGTAAATGGTCCAACATGCAAGGTAGAGGCACATTCTGCCTTCTTATATTAGATAACAGTGCAGCTTATGTTTTTTTCTTCTATACTGCTTATTCCAATGACTTCATCATAAAGACATCAACAAATATGACCTGTCCAAAGACTTCTTCATTGACAGTGAATGTAAGATCCAGCATGTCATTAATGTCATTATCCTTCATCCACTGCAGACTCTGGTGAAACTCCTCATCCAGGTATTCCAAGTCACTAAGGTCACAAGGACTGGGGAGGGCATAGAGTGGGGACAGATGAGTTACAATCAATAAAAACCACACATAGGCCAATGCCTGATTCTTTACAAACACAGTGGGAAACGTTTATAGTAATCACGTCTGTCTGAGCGAAATTGATCACTATAAGCAGATAATCATTATAACAGATTTTTTTTCTTCTTCTTTATGGCTATATTTCTCTAATCTAATTGAGATTTGTATATTTATTTCATGGACATAAGGCAATAAAACGGACAGCTTCGCTATTTACTTAATTTTATGAATAATTTCAAAGTACAGTATAGGCTAGCTATTTCGAACAATTTTCAAATTACAATGCTGTATAAATTAAATTACTGAACTGTGTATTGTACATAAATATTCAGTTCAATTCAGTTCAGTTCATACAGTGCATTTTCACAACATAACATTGTCTCAAAGTGCTTACTGTAGTTTTGCTCATGCATCTTGGTGCCTTGTTTTTAGGAGTTTATCATAAGCATAGATGAGTCTATATTTGTCATTGAGAGAAAATTACTTTCTTTTTCCTGTCATGTTTTCTGTGCACGCTGCATAAGCCTCATCTAATCAGAAGCAGACGGGTCAGCGCAAGTAAAAGGAGATTAGAGTTTAAAAAAAAAAAAATAGCACAATTTAATTTTTTTCCCCCCATATGTTTTCATGTATAAAAAGACCCAAACATCCATATCCATGATCCATATATAAAGTTGATCACTATAACTGTGATCATTATAAGCGTTTTCCACTGTATCAGATTATGCACCAGCAGACTTACATGCGCAGCAGTGCTTTGTAAAAGGGCCGGGTAAAGAAGGCATCAAGAAGGTATTGATGAATTAGTGCCAAGCCCAGGATACGTCCACTGAATCGAAACCTAGGGATGACATAACATTTTCAGCAACATTGACAAGCTCACATATAAAATACCATGCATAAATGCATACATACATACATGCATACATACAAACTGACTTCTATCAGAACTCACCACTCATGATGATTGTCCACAAAGGCAGACATTGGGCTGATTTGGACTGTGTAAGTATCATTGGCTGAGTACTCAAACAGGCCATAGTAAGGGTTGAAAAGCTCACGAGACACTAAGAAAAAGAATTCCCTGGAAGGGCCGCTATAATCCAACCTGGTTCAGAAGTTCACATATAAAGAAAAAGTTTTAATGAGGCCTTAATGAGCTTTAACAATTTTTGTGCATACTATTTTCAACAATTTCTTTTCTAATTCTATTCCATAGCACCAATTTCCTCATTTTAGCAAAGACAAAAACATCAAATCCTTTTCAAACTTTCAGCAGTCATTAGTTGCTCACTAAACAGGCTGTTCTTCAGTAATACAGAAAAAAGAGAGTGTGACAGTATGGAGACCCACCCTTCTTCTCCCACAAAGCTGACATAAAGTTTGCTCCTCTGCAGGTCCTTTCGGGAGTAGCACATGATCTGATTGAAGGCATCCTCCAGAAGGTGGTCCCTCCGAATAATCAGTCTGGGTACAGAAATTGGAAACGCATAACGAGATAGATATTATCAATCTATTATGAGAAGCACTTTCAAAATTAGACAGAACATGACAATGTTGTAACTGGACTGATATAAAGATTCAGATTGCACATTATTATTAAGGTGCGGATGCTAACGCATTACTATTGTGCTAACAAACAACAAATCTAACAGAACCAAGTAACAGCTAATGGACACAGTTAGATAAATGGATAAACTGAACTTACCTTTAGCTGCATGCACACTACCTTATGAGTAACAATACAAAATTAAACATTACATAGTGCACATTTTACTTTTTAGCAACAAAATGAATAGACCAAAGTTTCTCTGAGGAATTTTCAAATGCCGAAAGGGGCAGGCACATCCATATAAACAAGAACCTGACTATGATTGACAGCAATTTTAACCAATAACCTGCTGAATAATACTAAATCAACAAGAGGACAGAATGGTTAGTGTATAAAAACAATTAAGATTAATTACACTCGCAGACAAATTGCAATAAACACAATAGAACTGGAATGTCATCCACTAATAGGCTGCTATAGTTCTTTTTAATACAAACTGTAATAGAAATTATAATTAGATATGCAAGATACAGTACCAGTCAAAAGACTGAGTATGCCTACAAAGGAGAGTGATGGTGTCACATCACGTGACCTGGCCACCTGACCTAAACACAGCAGAATTGGGGTGAATCTCATTATGCATACTTGAATATACTCGTGTTTTCATACAGCCGTTTTACGTCATCTTCCACTGCTGATGACCAGTTCCAATACTCAAGAACAGAAGCACAGAGGATGGTAAGAATCCCTGGATGTCATTCTTGCCACGCCCCAAATATCAAGGATGCATCGAATGGATCCTTGTCAAACGAGACCAATCCCATAAGTCATTGCGATCCAAGTTTGTTCTTGTGAGGCAAGTTAGCAAGACTGGTCTTGCCAAGACCACAAGTATGATCTTCGTGTTCTTAGTATTGAGAAATGCCCATGGTTTTGGAGAAATTCACCCAGAGAGTGAAGGAAAAGCAGCCAATGAGTACTCAGCATGTGGAAACTCCTTCAGAATTAGGGCTGCTTAATTAATCGGAAAAAAAAAACAACATAATCTTGATTCATACGGGTATGTGACCTCATTTCTAAATTACAATGGTTCTTCTGCATTATATTACACCAGCTGGATCAAAACAAGCACTCCTACTTTTTCCCCAGAGTGTCTCAAGTGTCCCATAATTATGCATTCTCTTTAAAGGCTGCTTTTCCACCGCACCAGGTACCAAAAGTACCAAAAGTATGGTACTTCAACGTATTGTTTTTCTACTGGTATAAAAACTGGTACCGGCACTGAATGACATCACAACGCGAGGTGAGGTATTTTGTACTGAATTACTGTATAAAAATGGCTGTAATATATAATAGGGCAGGAACACCAACGCTGCATGTTATGCACATGCAGTTCTTACATCGATAGTCAGCTAGATTAAGATCAGATGTTTTCTTACTTTCAACTGTGTACAGACATATCACAGGAAGTTTAGGTTTTGCAAAATATATTTTTACTCTGTCATAGGAAAAAAACAAGTTTTGCTATTTTAATTATTTCTTTTCAAGATTATCTAGGATATGTTTAAAAATCAGTTTAAAGTAACCTCCGCTGCTTTTGCTGGATGCGTTCCCTGAGACAATCATAATTTTCATCTTTGCTGTTTAAATCACTCCTACATGGGTTTGTGAGAAATTTATGTTGAACTCCTTTTTTGTTTTAATACCCTAATATTTATTACAAAATCACATTGCAATACTTAGAAATTTTCCAATGCCGTACTGCCCTAGTATATTAGTATATTATATAAAATATACTGAGTGAGAAAAAAAAGTTAAGCACCCAGAAGTAATGATCTGATTTGAATGTAATTTGGTACATGTGCAAGACCAGCGATGGGTATGTAAATCATTTGATTTGCAAGGAGCTGGCACGTCCAGTCTCCAAACACAGAGGACGCCTCATAGATGAATTAGACAGCATTACCAGCACTTGACGGAGTTTGATAGGGATTGCATTGTGGGTTTGCATGAGGCCGGGTGGTCATATTGTGCAATTGCCCAGCATGTGGGGCATGCAGATGACACAGTCACTCGATGTTGGAACTAATAGGCACGTGAGGGCACCTGCACAAGTTGTGACGGTTCCAGTCACCCAAGACAGACCACACAAAAAGAGGATTGTCATATTGTGCACCAAGTGTTACAGAACCCCATGACATCTGCGCCTGCCATTCAGATACAGGTATTAGACTTTCTACAACACCCCGTGTCATCCGGCACTGTGTCTCAACGACTGGCATCAGCTGGACTATGGGTTCAATGTCCCATGTGTAGGCTGCTATTAACACCAGCACAGAGACGGCTACATTTGGAGTGATGCTGTAACTGGGAGGCATGGACTGATAACAAGTGGCACTGTGCCATGTTCAGCAGTGAATCTCAGTTCTGCATTACCACAGATGACCATCGTGTATGCATATAGCCGCGCCAAGGGCAGAGGACCAATCCTGCCAATGCTGTGGAGAGGCACACTGGTGTTACTCCTGGCATCAGGGTGTGGGCAGCCACAGGGTATGACTTCAGGTCATTTCTGGTAGTGATTTGGGAGACACTGACGACACAGTGCTATGTCAGTGACATCCTGTGTCTGCATGTCTTACCACTCCTGAGACAATGCCCGTCCACACATGGCACATGTGTCTATGGACAGCCTTGCATCATGTTGAGGTCCTCCTGTGGCCAGCCAGGTCCGCTGATCTTTCCCCAGTCAAACACGTGTGGGATCACCTCGGACGTCAACTCAGACCCAGTGCCAATCTGCAGGATCTTGAGGGCCAGTTACAATAGCTGTGGGCCACCACTGCCTTCTGCACCGTATCGCAGCATGTATCCAGGCCCGAGGGTGGGAGAGGGTGCTACACCCTACTGACATGGGGCCAGCAGTGTGCCCATACTGCCAACTCTGTTGTCTGCTTAATCTGATTTTATAATCATTGTGATACAGTCACATGACCCTTCACCATGTGGAGATTTATTTCACCAGTGTGTCTGGGTGCTTAAATTTTTTTGTTACCGAGTATACTTTAGTTCTCTTGATGTTATCAAGATCTCTGATTCTTCCAGCCAGATCGCAGTTAAAGCTTGGGTTACTTCATTTGCCTATGCATCCTTATTTATTTGCCTCATTTATCATTGTTTTCTAAGTTCGCAACGATGGATGTATAGCGTTTCAGAGGCAGGCTATTTGCATAACCGATCAACAAAGAACGCATTTCAAGAGTCACTCCAAAGTACCAAAAAAGTACCCCTTTGGCACTTTTGATATTGGTGCTTCTGGTATGGCTGTCTTGGTTATCCTAACTGAATGGCTATTTGAGCATTTCCTTTCTGTTATCAAAAGCTGATATGGCTATCCAAGATCAATCATATGTTTGGCATAATCATGTTTTCTCGTATTTCCTTTTGCAGTAAACATTTGAATTTGAGAAAAAAAAATTCTTACAGAGAATTGTGATCTCAATTCTAAACAAAAAAAAATCGTCATTCTAAATTGTAGAGAATAGTTCAAATAAACCTTTCTGTGGGTAGACATGTCTGACCTTTTGACTGGTACAGTATATCTGTCTTTACGGGACAAATATGAGTGATTGAAGTGGCTCTAACACTGAATCAACATGAGTTATGTTAAATGACATTTAAGGTGCAAGAGCTTCTACATACTCAAACATTGTTCAGTTTGTTGCAGTGAAAAATCAGTTTACTGTATTGTCTTGTTTTTTATCATATGGTTAATTAGCAAATTCCAGCCAAACAGCAAAAATTTGCCCATTCATTAATGCTTTACTGCTAAACGTACATATTTTTCCATCAATCTCTCTAAAGTAAATTTAAGAAAATTTAAGTAAATTTTCGAGTTTGATACTGACATCCTCAAATTAATACGTATCAGACTTACTTCAGCTTGCCTGGTCCCTGACCATAGCCTTTGGTTTCTAACTTGCGATAGAAGTTTCTGAGTTTGGCTTCAAAATCACGCTTGTAGGGTGCAGGGGCCCGGGCATTAGCTCTCTGGGTTCCTATGAGAGATGGAGATGTGAATCGGCAAATAGTGAGCAAGTTAGAAATAAATGTAGAAAAGGAATTATAGCACATTAATTCGATTAAGCATTCATACCCATCTTCTATAGCAAAAGAACCATCTGTCATCTGTTAATGTGTGGAAATAAATTATATTTATGTCAAGAGTGTCCAATCCTGATCCCGGACAGCCACATTGTGTGCAGGTTTTCCAGCTGTATTTAAACAACCAATAACCTACAAATTGAGGGAAAAGGCTAAATCAGTAACATTAAGAAAATTTATTTTTGGTAGTAGTAGTTAAATGCTCTGCTGGAAGGAAACTATGAAAGTAGATCAGTCCTCGAGGACCAGTAATAAATTAACCCTGAATTATGTGAAATACAGCAGACTTGTGAAACCTCTTTCTTGGTAAGCACCCGAGAAAGTACAAAACAAAAATAAAATAAGTAGCTAGAATGATTATTAGTGGCCTATTCATTCCATTAGGGATTTTCGTCTCCAATGACCCTAGCCTACCATTCAAGTATGCCTAGTACCTGTTAAAATGTCCTTGAATGGTACAGGTAGTATGGCCCAGCAGAACAACTTGCACGCTCAGGGCCACAAAGACTGTGGATATAAAGCTAGCTGCATATGTACTGCATGGTGCATATGTAGTGTAGGGGAAAAAACGGCCTTGCGGTATGTGGGTATGCAAGCTTACCAGGGGAACTCTGTGGGGAAGAAACCGGTGAGCCACGGCCAGACTGACAATAGTTGGGGTGCAATAAGGCATGCGGTGGAATGTACGACATCACATCCTCTTCAAACAAGCTGCAGGGTGCAAAGAACAGACAGAAATCTTCAAACACACTGTCACAGGGAGCAACTGGCTGTATTTCCTATGAGGCCATAAGGGTAACTTTATAAATAGAAAAAAATGCCATAAAACAAAGCAAAGGTTCACCTGAGTAAGATGACTAGGTCAGCATCACTAGACAGACGAGCCAAACCAGAAACTCCTTCACTGCGAATAAACTGTACCTTCTCCCTGTAGACAGAAACACAACTTTACTATGTAGTTCAAGTGGGCTTGTGATAACCTAACCAGAAAATTGAGTTTAGCTTAAGACTTTCAAATATTGTTGAAGTGTGGAAAATTAGTGAAATACAGTGGTACCTCAGTACTTGAACTCATTACAACTCGAATTTCTTACCAACCAATCAGTTTGGAAAAAAAAAGACCTAGAACTTGATCTGAATCTCAGAAGTCGAACCGTGAAAGCCGACCTAAGATAACTTGTACACGCAAGGAAATGAGTCACGCGGCATGTCTCAGCGGAAACAAAAGGTAACGCTTCAGTCTCAGCCTCGCATTCGCTGAGATAGCATCGTTTGTTGGTGATAGTGCTTTTTTTATTGAAAATATCAACTGGGGAAGCAGGGACAATCGGGAAGCAATCGGGAAACACAGGGTTTAATTGAGAACAGGCAGAACAAGACAATGACGATACAGAGGACTAATGACAACAACCAGAAACAGCTGATAACACGGGGATTCCACATGAGGTTAATGAGGGGGCGTGGCACAAGGAAGGAGTGGACGATCGGGGCGGGACAGGGGTACATTCTTTATCGTTTTGGAAGCCATTAAGAAAAAAATGCTTTTCTTGTTTTATCCTGTTCATTTTGTGTTTAAATGCTTAAAAAAAAAATCTACATATTTAGGTGTAATTTTTTGGGACCGGGAGCCAATTAATTGGTTTTCCATTATTTCTTATGGGGAAAATTCGATCAGAACTCAAACTTTTTAGGATTCGAACCCGAGTTCTGAACGGATTAAGTTCGAGTTCTGCGGTACCACCATTTATAGTGAAATACTTGTGTTTTTTTGCCTAGAAAAACAATATCAAAGGGAAATAAAAAAATGGAAATGGCAGCAGGTACTCTGCCACAACTGTCAACCTACCTGAGTGAATGATTTCTGATCAACTCTGGCTGTCTTTCTTGCAAGATCTCAAAGATGTTTGGTTGCCGTAGAAATGCCACAATTTTGTCATTGTAGGCTACAAGAAAAGCCAGTCTTCATCAGTCAAGTAACACTGAAAAGTTGAGGTATGCCCTGTGAATACTCTCTTTTCTTTGGTATCCCCACGAGACCCATATTGGTCTATGTTGTATCACCAAATAATGTTTACTGCTTCAGTTTTAACCTCAAAGCTTTTGTGATTATACTCACCCACAGGTACCACATCCTGATACTGGGTGCGACTGATTGTGTTAAAGGTATTGGAGGGACGAGGCAGGACAGGGGGATTGGCGTGTCGGGGGTCATCACCCACCTAAAATACAGTAGAATAACAGAGTCAATCGAAATTTCATAATCTTTAATGGTTCTAGGCCTGCCATGAATACATCCAGCCGTTAATCTATTTTCTATACTTGCTTGTCCTATGCAAGGTTCAGAGCCTAACACAGCTAAAGGGCAAAGCAGAGAACCAAACACAGGGAGAACATACAAAATCCACTCACATAGAGCCAGGGCGGAGACTCAAACCCTGGTCTCAGCAGTGTTAGGCGACCGTGCTACCCACGGACAGTCTGCCTTGCAGTCTAGTTTAACTGGGGATGGTTTCTTCTTTAAATTATGTTAATATTTAGGGCCTTGTAATCTAATCTTCCTGACTTGTACTTTTTTTCCACACTTTTTTTTCAACAGTAATGGAAGTGGGTCGTAAGGGAGTAAAAAGTAAAATATTTGGGTCCAACAGCAGTATATTATATAGTGAGTGCATGAGTTCTTTATCTGTGGTTTCCACTGTCAAGAGAGGAAACAACATTGTTATGGTGTTAGATGAGAGAGATCCATGTCAACCATTATCATTTTAATATTACATAAGAAGCATGCCATTGCATCAGAATGGGTAGTCCTGCATTCTTCTGCAATATACATTTATCTGGTAATTTATATTTATATCACCTGCAACATGTTTATTAAATCTGGCTGGCAGATTGATCTTTTGGTTTCACAAAATAAAAAATGGCGTAACGTATTCTGCGATTAATTGCTGGCAAGTTTCACAACTGGCACCAGCAAAATTAGACAAAAATCTATTGGTTATCGATCGAATTTTCCAATGCAGAAATATGGAGGCAAGCAAAAAATGCATTTGTTAAATTTGTTAAACTGAAGTACAAAAAATAATTCTATCTGCTGAGTTTTTGCTCTGCTGGTTATATCTTTTACCCGCACTTCCGCATCACTTCCAAATTAAAAGTGGTGCTTGTGGTCAACTATTCAGGAAGTTATCACTCTATGTGGATCCCCTGTAGTTTGTGTTCAAATGAAAGGTACCTAGTCTAAAGTGGATACTAAAAAAAGAGTTCCGGAACTGCCTCAGAGGACCTACAATTGGGCCAAGTACTTGTTGTGTGAATGCAACAAAAGTTCCTGGCCATGGAAAAAAGTTCCTGCAGTGTGAAAGTGCCTACTGGCAGATAATGGCTGCTCACCTCGCCAGCGCTGTGACTGCGCTGGCGATTTAGGTGCTGACGATGGGCTAACAGGCTGCTGGGCCTTGCACTCTGCAGGGGAAGTCGAGGGTCTATAAAAGTGGTGGTCCTACTGTTGTGGTCCACAAAGAACGCCTGTAAACACACAGGGAATAAAAACACACAGAGCAAAAAATACTGAAGAAAGTACTGCATGACATTCAAACCCAATAAATAAAAAACAAAAGTTACAATACATTATGACTTATTTCTTCTAACACGGCAAAAGGTCACTGATAAATTTGCCATTAAAATCATTCAGGGTTCATTTTTTTACACCCAGATTTAATGAACTGTGATAAACAATATTAGACTGACTAAGGTAAAGAACTATAAAATGAAAGGCAAAGGTAAAGAATTCATGAATGAAATATTAATTGGTTAATAGTTCAAATTAAAATGGGATTTACAAAAACAACACAAAACACTCATTAACTAAGATAAACTAAATGAATTATTATTAATGAATTAATAAATTTAGAATATATAGTGGTACCTCAGTTCTCAAACTCATTAGAACTCGAATTTCTTAAAAGTCTAACCAACCAGTTTGGAAAAAAATTACCTAGATCTCGATCTGAATCTCAGAAGTCAAACTGTGAACACCGACCTAAGATAACTTGCATGCATGGGGAAATGAGTCACGCGGCACGTCTCTCAGCGGAAACAAAGGGTAACGCTTCAGTCTCAGCCTCGCATTCGCTGTGATAGCATTGTGCATGTTTACACTAGCTGAATACATATATTTAGACAGTAAAAATACATTTAGACAATGATATGCAGTAACAGTAATTATTATTATATAATAAAATACATTTTAAAATAAAGATTTCTTATTAATTTTAATATTAATAATGTATTAATACATTTAATTATAAAAATATTGTCGTACCCAGCGGGGACGGAATGGAGACAAAGGCGCAGACATCAGGGTATCGGGGAATACGGGGTTTAATTACAGGTAAGGCAGGCAAAACGCAGACGGACAATGACCGGACTGGGGAAAGAAACTGAAACGCGGACTAAATACAGAGGACTAATGACAACAACCAGAAACAGCTGATAACACGGGGATTCCACATGGGGTTAACGAGGGGGTGTGGCACACGGAAGGAGCGGACGATTGGGACAGGACACATTGTTTTTTTTTTTTGTTTTTTTTTTTTAACTTTGCACATTGTTTTGATACATTTATTTTCTTACTTTAAAAATTACTGTTTTGATAAATGTGCTTAGATGTGTTTAGTACAGTATATGCTTTTCTTGTTTTGTCCGGTTCATTTTGTTTTTAAATGCTAAAAAAAACATTTTGGTGTAATTTTTTGGGGCCGGGAACCAATTAATTGGTTTTCCATTATTTCTTATGGGGAAAATTTGATCATAACTCGAACTTTTTAGGATTCGATCCGGGGTTCTGAACGGATTAAATTCGAGTTCTGAGGTACCACTGTAATTGCAAAATATATTTGAAAACACAATTTAAAAAGAGGAATAACTGAATTCACAAATTGAATTAAGAATTCAGATTTCAATCTGCCATTTGAATGGGCTATTTGCTTTCCATGTGCATTTCCATTTTCCAACTGCTTTTCCATTAGCTATTCCATTTTACGTGAGAAATGTGAGCATAAGCACTATTCGGCAATCTTGTAATGGCATAACCCAACAGGCAAAACAGGAAATAACAGCACAGATATTTTTAAACAGCACATCACAAAAAAACAATTACATCTCAGAAAGTAAAGCAGCACAAACAAAAATCTCAACGGCATAAACTGGCACAAACATGGCACATGATTTTTATCACATTGTGGGGATGAAATCTGAAACATTGGGGACACCAACTTTACGCAAGTGCCAAACTTATAGCTAGGGTAGATCTCTAACCTGTCAGAGTGTTTGTTGTATCCCATGGCTAATTTGTATTTTTTGGCCTGGTTTTACCAGTACAAGGCCCAAAGTGTCACGGAATTCCACACAGAATTCGAATAGGTATTCAAAAAGGAAAAGCAAATGGAAAATGGAAGTGCAAATAGAAAAAGGAATTGCACTTTTAAATGCCAGATTAAAAACTGTATTCCTGATTTAATTTGTGAATTCAGTTATTTTTCTTTTGTTCCTTATTAATTTATGAATTCATTCATGTTTTTTTAAAGTACTTAGTGTTTTATGTTGTTTTTGTAAATCCACTTTTTAATTTGAACTGTTTATTGGTTTGATATTCTACGAAAGAGGATTAGGGCCACCATGAAAATATTATTTGAATTCTGACTTTTTTTTCTCAGAATTCTGAGTTTAGAAAAAAAGTTTGTAGACCTGAGCTATCCACCTCTGCAAATAACAAGTAGATAATACATCAAGTATGAAAATAAATTGAATTAAGTGAGCTGGTGATTTGCTGACAGAAACAAAGCAAAAGAAAATTGGATGGTGCAGAAATATTACCCCTAACCTTTCCAGTGTGGTCATGCTTCATTTCCCAGCCACGGGGCAGCTCCAGTTGCTTGTTGGCGAACATATTGAGGAAGGCCACCAGGTCACGATTGTGCTGGTAGCGTTCAAAGTGGTGTGTATCACGCCTCACCTTGCTTATCATGTGCTTCAGACAGGTATTACTTGTAAACATGCGATAGGCACTCTGGGGAATAAAAGAAAGACTGTCTAAATGCTGGGGGACTGAGGTGTGACATAATCAGGAATTAAACAGCTGATAAAACTATGATTACGAATTTCTGTGCTAGTTCCCATTCAAACACGTGGCATTTTGTATTTGACTGAACTTTCTGAGGAAGTTTCAATATAGTCAAGCTGCATGGGTTGACCATTATCTAACTAGAAGAATAAAGTTTGATTTTTTATTGTTGCAGATAATACGATGAACTCACAGGGTTGGAATGCAACACGGTGAAAAAGTCAGGGCTGGTTAGAAATTTGGCGCTAGGAGTTTGAAGGAGCTGTGCGAGACGCGTGCGAGAGCTTGAGTGGGGTACACTGCCATCCCGTCGGTACTCTGCAAAAAAACATAACAGCTCAACATTCTGTCCAGGAGTCTACCAAGGACACTATAGATGCCGTTAATGTATTGGCACTGTATAGCAGTACTGCAGCTACATCAGCATACCAGGGATGGAGTGGTACATCAGGTCACTGTCGTCAGAAGGAGTTTCAGGTAGCTGCTCTTCTGGCTGCTCATTAGTCATGGTTCTGCGAATGCTCTGGTACCTGGGGAGAAGATGTTGAAGTTGGGAAAAAAAAAAAGAGTTTACTTAGCTATTTTCCTGGCAAAAAAACAAAAGAATAAAATGTTTGCATTGTAGTTCCTCTCAACACTTAGCAGGATAAATGGTTTGAAGGCTGAATTGTTGTCTGACCTGCGGTTTAATTGCTCCATTTGCTGGATAGAGTTAGACCTTTGCAGCACCTGGGGGGCAGGGGGGGCAGTGGGTCGTTGCCATGTGGTGGTGCGGTTCACATGATCAACGTAGAATATGCGTCCATGACTGTCAATCCGGGCCTCCCAATCTTGATATGCAGGAAAGGTGTCTGTATATTTATTCAGTAACCCCCACTCTCTCTCTTCCTCTCTCCCCCCCCTTCCCTCCCACACTCTCCATCTTGCACACCCACACACTTACACATGTTTATATTCATATCTTTGTGGGGACCATCCATTCATATCTATGGGAAAAACCTTAATCCTAGCAATGACAACCTTAACCACTACCAAACCCTAACCATAACCATAACCATAAGTAACCAAATAAAATACAATACTGACATTTTTGTAACACATTTATATAAAAGTCAGTTTCCCTAAAGGGGAAACAAAAAATGGTTTTTATCACATTGTGAGGACATTTTGTCCCACAAGATAAAATATACATCACACACACATCATTATGGGGACTCTCCATTGACTTCTATGGGCTTTACTCTAACCTTTACCTAGCCTTAACCTTAACCATATGTAACCAAACAAAATACAAGACTTTTGGCTATTTTTGATTGCATTCACATACATTATATGAACAAAAATATTGGGACACACCTCTTAATCATTGAATTCAGCTGTTTCATTCAGACCTATTGCAACAGGTGTATAAAATCAAGCACCTAGCTACAGTATGCAGTCAGCTTTACAAACATTTGTGAAAGAATGGGTCTTTCTGAAGAGCTCAGTGAATAAAAGTATGGTACCGACATAGGATGCCACCTATGCAATAAGTCAGTTTGTAATATTCCTTCCCTGCTAGATACTCCACAGTCAACTATGGTTTTTGTGCAATGTAGAAGCATTTAGGCACAACAGAAGCTCAGCAACGAAGTGGCAGACTTTGTAAAGCAGGGGTCTCAAACTCTGGTCCTAGAGGCCCGGAGCCCTGTGTAGCTTAGTTCTTTCCCCCTTCCACCACAAATCATCCAGCTCAAAAGCTGTGTGGTAATTAGCACAAAGAGTTGAATCAGGTGTGTTAAATGAGGGTGAACCAAAAACTGTGTAGGGCTACGGCCCTCCAGGACTGGAGTTTGAGACCCTTGATGTAAAGTGACTGAGCAGGGTTGCCGAGTGTTGAGGAGCATAGTGCGTAAGTCGCCAAAGCTCTGTTGACTCAATAACTACAGAGTTCTAAGCTTCCCCTGGTATTAACCCCAGCAGAAAAACTGTGTGCTGGGAGCTTCATCATATGGGCTTCTATGGCCAGGCAGCTGCATGCAAGCCTCACATCTCCAAGCACAATGCCAAGCATCAGAAGGAGTGGTATAAAGCACGCCACCAGAGGACCCTAGAGCTTTGTAAATGTGTCATGTGGAGTGATGAATCACGCTTCTCTGTCTGACAGATGAGTTTGGTTTTGGTGGAGAACTTGCCTGACTGCCTTGTGCAAACTGTAAAGTGTGGTGGAGGAGGGATAATGGTACGGGGTTGTTTTTCAGGGGCTAGGCTAGACTTCCTAGTTCCAACGAAGGAAACTCTTAACGCTTCAGCATACCAAGACATTTCAGACAATTGTCTGATAACTCCAAGTTTGTGGGAACAGTTTGGGGATAGCCGTTTCTGTTCCAGCATGACTGTGCCCAAGTGTACAAAGCAAGGGCCATAAAGACATGGTTGAGTGAGTTTGGTGTGGAAGAACTTGACTGACCTGCCCAAGGGCCTGATCTCAACCCCATCGAACACCTTTGAGATGAACTAGAATAGAGATTGTGAGCCAGGCCTTCACATCCAACATTAGTGCCTGACCTCACAAATGCTCTTCTGGATGAATAGACAAAAATTCCCACAGACACATTCCAAAATCTTGTGGAAAGCCTTCCCAGAAGAGTGGCAGCTGTTATAGCTGCAAAGGGGGGACCAACTCCATATTGATGCCTATGGATTTAGAATGGGATGTCATAAAAGTTCCTGTAGGTGTAATGGCCAGGTGTCCCAATACTTTTGTCCATATTGTATGTTTTTATAAAACTGAGGTTTTTATTGTGGGAAGCTCAAAAAATGTCCCCACAAGCAAAAAAGTAACAGATTGTACCACATTGTGGGGACAACTGGTCCTCACAATGCGGTAAATACGAACTCACACATGTAAACACATACACTGGCACATACACCACTTACTTGGGGGCAGGGGCTCATCCACTCTCTGGTAGCGACTGACATCATGTCGTACTGAGGGGAGGGACCGCACTGGCTGATGTCCATTGAACCGGGAGCCTATTTTCACATAGGGAGGAAAGTACATCAAACTTGCATAAAAATTGGTTACAAAAACAACTGTGCTTTGTGGTCCCTCCAGCACAAATGATAAAAGATAATCTTTAAAATCAATGTTTAAAAAAAAATGTAAAAAACAAAACAAAAAAAAAAACAGTACTAAAATTAATCTGCGGGTATGTATACTTTTAGATTAAAATGAAAATGAAGCATGGGAACAAAATACAATATGTAATATATAATCATGAATTTTACGACAGATATTGTGATTGGGATTTGATTTGCGAGGTCGGCATGAATTTGCAAAACTATTCTCCCAACACTTTTAAACCCTGGGTCAGACGTGCTGTGTAATGCACATCCTAAAATGCCAGCCTTTGGACTTGCTAATCGTCTAGTTTCAAATTGCGATTTTGATTTGAAATTGATAAATCATTTAATCATTCACCCCTACCAAAGACCCAACACCGGACAAGGGAGATGACTCTCCATCTTATTTCAGTATGGAGTGATGTCCACTATCAACACCAATTTGCATAGATCATACACAACCATCATGTGTGCGAGGAAATAGGTCTATGTGAAGAACTGTCCCAAAAGTCACTATTTTATTTGTCTATTAATGATACATTCTGTACATTATCAGACATGTTTGGAAAATTCAGTACTCATTCAAGCTCCAGTTTAGTGAGTTAATTGCTGTTTCCATCTTACAAATGTGCCTTTACAGATATCTTTGCTCCCAAATTTTTACTCTGTAGGCTTGTAATAACTGCAGACATGGCAGATTCAAACTGGATTAAAATTACGGACCTTGACGGATCTAATTGCATCAATTACATCACGTCCCCAGGTAAAACAAATCCCATCAGAATAAGGCTTTAGCAAATAAACATACAGCATGTGGCAAGCAGATTGTAGTACTGTTTCACGAAATACCTCCTACACACAGACATAGCAAGGAATGTTTTAATTATAATTAAAAAAACAGTATCTAGGTTAAATAGTCGATGTAAACAGAATAAGGAATAATTCTGCATAGATTGTTGGTTGCATAGCTTACACGACTTTGCTAATTCGCCTTACTCTGTGTACTCGATTGTGTCCTTTTTCTAAAAAGACCTCAAATGATACAGTACATAGAGACAACGGCAACTTAAATCTATCATAGTAATATTTGAAGTTAGCATGTGCAAATACTTATTTTGATACTCCGGTCTAACGATAGTTTGCACAAATGATAAATTAGTAAGAATGTTGCAAAAGTACATTCCTCTCTGCAACTGCCAATATTAGTTTCAAAGTTGAACAGATAAAGGTTAAAGGTAAAGCATATTAATCCATTGGGCATATTCAATTACAAATTCTCCAGCCTTGTCTACCATAACTTTTACAATTTCTTGTATGGTACAGATCATTCATTAGTCACCCAATAAAGACTTAGTTAGCAAACATATTTTGTTTGCTCTTTCTGTTCTCAAGACCTGCCCTTACCTGTATCTTCATCCAACTGAGTGACGAGACACACTGAATCCACAGAGGATCGTGCCCCCAAAGACACGTTTTGTTCCTCCTGGGACATGCCACCAGCTGCCTGTAAACTTAGTCTCCTTTGCCAGATCTCCTCTCCTTCATTATCACCTTCATTTTCTGGGCCGTCTTGATTCTCATCATTTATTGGGCCAGACCCAGGATCTCCACCTCCTTTATCAGCTACATCACTCCTTGTGGCAGCAGTGTCAGTGATATTATTCTCCGTTGGATTGGCATCAGAGGAAGCCATAAAGCATTCTTCATTTATCTATATAAAACAAAAAAGTATCATGATACATCAAAAGTTTCGGGATACCTCAACAAGCATTTTGCACATACAATAATTTGCCTTTACTGTCCTATTAACTAATTAATTGATTAACTAATCTATTATTAATTCAGTACTGGGGAAGGGTCCTCCAAATTTGATGCTGATCAGTCAATAGGGGGCACTACAGCAATGTAACGTGTGTCTAAACCTGCAAAACCAGTGCAACTGACATTTTTCTCATTTCTGTTCGAGTAATGTTCATAACAGAGTGGCTGTTCTGTCCTGAAACCGTAAAGCTGGAATTTTTTTAAACGTAGTATGCATTTTACAAAATGTCGAATAATTTCTAATAAAGTAGTTTATTGGTGATTTCATGTTGGTCGAAGTTTCCGGTTTTTAACAACTGTATACGGTTATTTTCTATACAAATCAATTCAGATGAAACAAAAAAATGTATGTGCTCAGGGTTGCAAACTCTTTCAGACTCACGCAAGAAATCGTACGGCAAATCTATAATATTCCATTCTGAACTTAAAATTAGCTGCATCAAAAACGATAGGGCAGTTTGCAAACCCTACAGACTATTTACAAGGTAATAAAACTTTTAAATACATATAAATGTGTGCACAGAACATAGAACAAAAAATCTCACTCCATGCAGCTGACCAAAGTTGGCAACCTTGCATTTTATTTGAAATGAGAAGTAAAATGCAGTTTGACTGAAGTGGCTTATCATTCCTTTGCTTTGTTACTCGGACAAATACAAAACGAATGAATAAACATTATATGCGTCTCTTTTTGTATCTTTTCTAAATAATAAGACTGCGTGCCCATACCCAACTGTAATATAGCGATTAAAATTATCTATTCTTTTAGTATTTATGTTAAAGCAGGACTTTTATTTTATTACTGTTGTGTGATTAAGATTAATTTCACACGATTAATCTTTGGAAATACTTAAATTAATAAGCACAAAAACATTTGACATAAACACGACTGTATTATGGGTTTTACTGCTTTTTTTGGAGTCACCGACTCTGCTGCTGTGAGGATTACAAACGGTCTCTTTGTTGTTTTGATGGGTTAGCGGTATGCTAATGCTATTGCCCATTAACAAAAACAAAAGGTATGATACGTTGAAGTATGCCTTTTTGACTCATTGAAAATGATCAAACTTAATTCATAAGCCAGGTAGTGCACAAAACAGTACAGTGGTACCTCAGAACTCAAACTTAATCTGTTCAGAACTCCGGATCGAATCCTAAAAAGTTCAGGTTCTGATCGAATTTTCCCATAAGAAATAATGGAAAACCAATTAATTGGTTCCCGGCCCCAAAAAATTACACCTAAATGTTTTTTTTTTAGCATTTAAACACAAAATGAACCAGATAAAACAAGAAGAGCATATACTGTACTAAACACATCTAAGCACATTTATCAAAACAGTAATTTGTAAAGTAAGAAAATAAATGTATCCAAACAATGTGTCCTGCCTCCATCATCCTCTCCTTCCGTGTGCCACACCCCCTCGTTAACCCTGTGTGGAATCCCCGTGTGATTAGCTGTTTCTGGTTGGTGTCATGAGTCCTCTGTATTTCGTCCGCGTTTCAGTTTGTTTCCCCAGCCCGGTCATTGTATTGTCCATCTGCGTTTTGCCTGCCTTACCTCTAATTAAACCCCGTATTCCCCGATACCCTGACGTCTGCACCTTTGTCTCCGTTCTGTCCCCACTCGGCACAACAATAATGTTATAATTAAATGTATTAATGGTTTATTATTAATATTAAAGTAATTAATAAGAAATCTTTATTTTAAAATGTAATTTATTATATAATAATAATTACTGTTACTGTCTCTCATTGTCTAAATGTATTTTTACTGTCTAAATATATGTATTCAGTTAGTGTAAACATGCACGGTGCTATCACAGCGAATGCGAGGCTGGGACTGAAGCGTTACCCTTTGTTTCTGCTGAGAGACATGCCGCGTGACTCATTTCCCCGCGTGTACAAGTTATCTTAGGTCGGCATTCATGGTTTGACTTCTAAGATTCAGATCGAGCTCTAGGTAATTTTTTTTCCGAACTGGTTGGTTCGACTTTTAAGAAATTCGAGTTCTAATGAGTTCGAGAACTGAGGTACCACTGTATTTTGAAATTTTTAATAAATTGGCCAGCAGGTGGAGTCAGTGCTCCATTTTATAAATGCCACTCAAGACTTTCAGGCCTTCTCCTGTCTAAATGAACAGCCTATAAAAGGGCAAAGCATGATTGTACTGCTGTTATATGGAGCAGTCCCCCAGCAGAGCAATGTTCTGAATATGCAAAACAGTCAAAGTTCACACAGCCAGTACAAACAAACCTTAACTTGTAAGATCTAGACTTCATTAGGTAGGAAATTGCCTATTTCTAACTAGTACTTAGACTATCTAATACAAACCAGACATTCAGTCGGGCTCAGGCACACCACCAGAGGGTTCTACATTCTGTCCTACATCTGCTGACCTGTTAGGCCTATACTCAAAAATGTCCATCCTGTTACAGGATGCTCCACCATATATCATGGTAGGCAGCATGTTTGGTTGCATCTGTCTATAGAACTTTTTCCCAGAAGAAGTTTGGTTATTCTAGGCAGGTATCAGCAAAGATTATTTGTGCCATTTAATTAATTTCTTTCAGCCCATAAAGCACTAAACCTTTTTGGTTCAGTGTGCACCATATGGTATGGGTTGAAACCATTTAGATTGCTTCAGGTCAGCGTTAAGCTCTGTGGTTGTTTTGCCTGATGTTTTATCCCACAGTCTAACTACTCTGATCAATTTCCTTCTTTACACTATGCCCCAGGAGGATCCTGACAGTTCCCTGAGCAACAAACTTCTTAAATCCATCACAATCTGTTGAAACAGGGATGCCAAGGTCTTGGGAGATGACCCTTTAGTAACCCAAGTTACCCAAGCACCGAGAATCTGTCAAAGGTGAGTATAATTTCACTGCAATGACAATCTAGATCCCCCCAACCCCATTTTCTTATTTTTGCTATTATTTTATCCTGTGCTATTCAACATCAAAATATCAAACATAAGTGTATTTAGACCTAAGCCTTTCACTGCTGAATTTTTTCAATATGGTTTCTAAATTACAGCTGAATATTAGACTGCATAATGTGAAAACAGGCATACAGCACTCCTGGAGCATTTGGGGTTAAGGGTCTTGCTCAAGGGCCCAACAGTAACATGGATAGCCATAGGATTCTGGATATAAGCAGAGAACCCTGGCAAACTGAACCACACAACTGACTTTTCTGCCTTCAAATGATTTTCTTCATAATGCAATTCTTCAAAAGTAAAAGTGACATGAGTTGCTTACTACGGCTGATAAAAAAAAAAAAAAAAAATCACTTGATACAGTACTATACCAGTTATGAGTGGCACCATATTCCCTGCCTTTTGTGAGGGTGGAAATGAATACGATTATTGTAGGATGCTCTGTATGAAACACACCTGTAAAGAGGATGCTGGGTGAGAATTGTCATCAAATGAGGAGGAGCCAACTGATGTTTCGGCAGGTCTAGTGCTCTCAACTCTCTCTGTGCCTTCACTAAACAGTTCCTGGCTTGAGAGTGGGGCCTCTTTTGGATCATCTGCCCCTCCTGTTTCCTGTAGAGTAATTCTGAGGCCAGTGGCCTCTGGCTCAGCAGCTGAAGCCTCTGTGGGGTCATCAGCTATTTCTGTATTTGTTTCTTGTTGTTCCTCTTGTCCCTGCTGATCTGACTCCATGTCAGTTAAAACATCAGATAATTCCTTCGGCTCCCCCTTATCCATCAGCAATCCAACCTCTTCCTGGAGGACTTCACATGGGTCTTCCTCCTCATCTGAGTCAATATGCAGCATAGCACTCAATCGTGTATCTGTGGGAAAGCTAGAACGCAGCTTAGGTGAAGCTGCTCCAAGAGGACGTTCCCCTGGTCCCTTAGGGACCTCAATAGCCTCAAGGTATTCATTGGGGGATACCTGGTGCGATGTATGTGGAGGGAATCCCCCTTCTGCTCCTCTGTCGGTCCCACCCTCCTTATTTTCTTGGTCTTGTCCAGCAACATCACCATTTCTCAATGAGAAACATTGCAAAGAACCCTCAGACCCTGTAGGGGAATGGCCACTAATTGGTCCAGCAGGAGTGTGAGGAAGTTCTTCATCATCAGAAGGACTGTCAGGATCTCCATTCACTGCTGAGGTTCCCAAAAGGCAGTCAATAGTATCAGGTGTGGCCTCTAGGTAGATAAGATGGTGAAATTTAGTTATTAGTTTTAACAAACTTAATCTTGCAAACAAAGACTAATCATATGCTATTCTTCACCTTCATGTCCTGTAGAGGTGATCTCCACTCGAAATTGCAGCTGACCACTCACATGCTCAGTAGGCAAACGGCGACAGAGTGTGAAAGTAAGTAGTTGATCCCTGTGACACCAACAAACAGACTTAGGCAAATAAGAGTTATAGCACTTCATCAAATAAGAAAATATTTAACTGGATTTAAAGGTTTAAATGATTTGCCATAATATACTTCAATTAATACCATACAAATCAATCAGTATATTTATGGGCTACAAAATACAAAAACTATTATTTGAGATAGGTTGTATCTAGCAAGAAAAATTTAGGATTCCTTGTCAATTTTCATGGCTGCCTTTTTACATAATTTTAGATTTTTTTGTTTAATTATTGTAATTAACTGGGATAATTACTTTTTCATGTTCAAATGTTCCATATTGTATGTGGTGGAAAATATGAACATAAGAAAAAGTAGTTTAAGAGGTTCTCAGTGAGTGACAATACAGATATTATAATATACAGAATGATGGATTTGGCCATGGGATACTGGCAGATTCTCTTGTTGCTAGTTTTACGGAAAAGGGAAGGAGGGAAAACGGCCAAACAGAGAACGGAAGGTTTTAATCAACAGGTCTACATACTTCTCTTTGGTTTGCAAGGGTCACATTCCAGCCTCCTGATATTAGAGCTGGGTGATATGTCCTAAAAATAAAATCTCCGATTTTTTTCACAATAAATCCGATTTTTGATTTTAATCGATTTTCCCCTCCCCTACTCAAAATCAAACTACAGAGGACAAATAAATGGTTCAAAACAAGTTTTAACTTATGAGTTAACTTAGAATTAAAGTGCAATCTGACAAGCCAAAAAAGATGCTTGTACGTGAGATGGCAGACCACGCCATTGTAAACACTTTTAGAAACTTGTAAAAACTTTTAGCATGTTAATCAATCCCGGCTTTTCCACAGTATGTATGGGCACCATGTCTTTTGCAATATACATCGCGACAGCGTTTGTTATCGCCCATTCTTATCCTATGGCACACAGTTCGAAAACGTGTCAGGGACGGTTGCTTGTTTAACTTTGGATGTTGTGCTGGAGCGGCGGGTATTTTCATTTCGCTGGGAGCCGCACTTCCCCGACTCCGCTGTGTGCCTCTGCTTTAGGTGCTGGAATAAATTTGTCATGCTGCTTTCTTTGGTTGCAACAGTTTTTAAACAGACTTTGCAATGAGGACTTGTTTGGTCTGTGTCCTACGGCGCAAAACTGAACCACTGCCGTGATGTTTGTGAATTCATTAGAGTTTTTGTGTGCGCTGCGCTGATTTACCCGTGAAGAACGGTGCGTCGCATTAGTTCTGCTTTTGGCGCTCGTGTGTAAAATAAGTAATAAAATCAATTTCCATAAAAACACATCGTCCTGAACTGTAAATTCGAATTAATCGATGAAATCGATTTATCGCCCACCTCTACCTGATATTATTTGTAGATTATTAGCTACAGGTAGGTACCTGCCATATTTGATGGCAGTCCTGCAGGTACTAAGACAGCTGACCTTGGCATCAACCTTGAAAACTGTCAGTCAGGTGAGAGATATACTGGGGTACTTCTTGGGTGGAGGACAAAGTTAATGTAGGAAAAAAGGTTATAGTAAAGCTAATACACTGCGATTTTCATTCTAACAGTTAACCGCTAATTCCTACCTGGTTATATGCCTCTCTAGGAGTCTCTGTATTGGAATTGTCAGCTGGCCTAAGAAGCGCTTGATAATCGGTCGGCTTTTGGCAAACTTATCCTTTACTTCAATTTCCAAAACGTCTGTAACAAGAGCTACGAAGGTGTACTTCTATTGAAAGAAAAAGAGATTAGATTAGTCCATCACATGCATATCTGTATGAAGTGTGTTGCATATGTCTATATTTAGTCTCCAGGCATACCTCTCCATGCCAGACAGGGTTAGTTGTATTGGCAATGATGGAAGCTCGTCTTTCCTGCCCATGATGTGCAAAGGTGGGGAAGCTACTCTTCTTTCCAGGTTTTATGGACATTTTCAGGTAAGGGTCAGGGTTGAAGAACATGCCCTTTTTCAGACCAAGAGCTTGGATGTCTACATGAAGATGGGATCAAAAGAACTTCAGATTGGACTACACATGCATATGAAGAATGGTGTAAATATGTATTAAGATTTATACCCTTGGCTTTACCTGATAAAGTAAAACTGACAAGCTTACGGCAATGTTCTGTTAACACATGTCCTTCTACTTGACCTTCAGCATCTCCCTGTGGCAATAAAAAAACATTAAATACATGTATCATGCATATTTACCTTGACCTTTATGGGTGAAACTATCATTAATCTTTTAAACAAAAATGGAATGTTAAAGAAAATATTCTCCCACTCCTCCCACCACCCCCAGCCTCTGCAACTCCCATCTTCCCAATCTTTATTAAAACCCAACTTTGTGTGACTTAATATAATCAATTTCAGATCTGTGTCTGTCACTGTCTTTTTATCTGCCACCACTAAGGGGCACTGCTTCAATTTTGGTGCGACTTCTAGAAATGAAATCAGGCGCAGATCTTCATCCATATAGTGGTTTTTGTGATGTGGTAATACCAAATATTTTTCAGTTATCTAGTGTACAACATCAAGTATCTTCCCTTTGCTGCCACTAAGCAGCATTGCTTCAATTTTGATACCATTTGTCTCAATATTTGACAGGTATTCACCCATACAATTTGTTTGCAAAGTTTGAAAAAGATCCATCAAATATCTTTTGAATTATTGCACTAACAAATAAGTCTGCAATGGCGATGAATTGGTCCCAAAACCATATGCATTCCCCACAGGTTGCTGTTTGATTATGTATTCTCCATAGCATTTTATCTCCTTCACTAAATTAATACACAGAAATACAGAGAAAATACAATTTGCAACATACCACAACACCAGGGTTCTTGATGGTAATGCAGGGAGTAGTGGCTCTTAAGGCCCCACTCACTCCATGATAGTACTTAAAGCAAATCTTGGTCTCAGCTGTATATAGTAGGGGAGACATACAGGCACAGAGAGTCAAGGGATGGAAATAAATGCAGATTCATCCCATCTCACTTATGTCCTTACAGCGTTTTACTCACACAACTGATCTCCTCTCAGGGCACCTGAATCCCACTACCCCATTTGGTTTTCTACATACCATTTCCCACGTATGGCATAATTTTACTCACGCTCCATGAAGTAAGGCCCAGGCTCCAACCTCCATACAATCTGCCCACGTTGAGTGCCATTAACACCTCGATTCTTAGAATCCCACATATTAGCAGGGCAAGTCTCATCTGGAAGGTTAAATAACAGTAACCACCAGTTAGACAATGCCTTTCAAAGCCCATCCTGTGCATTTATAGATACACCTTTGAAAGAAGATACAGTAAAAGCTAGAAATGTATGAGGTTAAGTCTGTGTGATATCTTCATTACTGTAGCATCAAGACAACAAAATCAAGAAAGCCTCTAACATGTTACAGTAATCCTGCATTATACTCCTCCTCATCAGGCCCTGCAGCAACACAGGAAGTCTCCACCACTATAATTTAAAATTAATTGGACACAATGACTTCGCACAAACTGTCACACCCAAAGGTCATTATCACATCAAAATACAAGGCTGCTAGAAGTGGGCATTCCCCATGGGGATCACATATCAACATGGACAATAACTTCACATTACCACATGTTTGTATTCTAATGAAACAGGGTCACAGATCACAAAAGTTGTAATGAACTTAGAATTTTATTGCACTTATTTGCTTTGCATTTCTTAAAATTGTACTGTGAATACCTACAGTAGACATAATAAAAGAAGCATGCAAGTGTCACTGGTGTTGAGTGTACTGGTCTCAGGATGACTGATTCCAACACTATTTATATCAGTCATCACATTGTATGACCGTTGTCTTACATTTACAAAGCAGATATTATTGTCCAAAGCGGCATACAAGTGAAGCAAATAGCATATTGCAAACATACATGCGGTCAATGAGTCAACTAGGCATAAATGCAGCTAGGCTGAGCTTCCAATGAATGCATAGGTACAAGTGTAAACAGTATTTGAGCAGGAACGACAACTTCTAACAAAGCGGGAACCTAACAAGACTATTCAATGTCCAAAAGCACTACACCAAGAACATTGAGGGAACATACAGTGGAATCAGACTAATCGAATCATAACAATCACCGTGACAGCTTTATTTCATAAACATCTTCCTTGAAACCATTAAATTGAAAAAGTTGCACTTCACCCCTTGCATATCTTTTAGACCGAACCCCAAATCAGTAATCTTATTTGCATAGCAGTTCAACTTTCAATTCTGTTCACCTACAAGGAAAATCAAACTCTTATGTGAAAGAAAAATGCAGTGAGTGTCAGAAGGAGCTCACCTATGTGGTAGAGGCCAATCCAGTCAGTAGCATCCACTTCCTCCTTGATATCCCATGATATAATAAGATTCTGCGATCGGCCCAAAGTGAACTCGTACACAGAGGCAGTGAGGGAGGAACGGCTGTCAGAGGTGACCAGGTCAGTGTCACTGTTGGCCCGCTGTAAGCCCAGTGTCTCAGATGGCCCTGGGCTCTGACCTGCCAGGCTCTGCAAGTTCTCTGGACTCAATGTATAGCGCATCTGAGGGCTGCGCCGTCGCACCACCAGCAAATGCTCCCGGGCTGTGGCTGCCATAGTGATTGGAGGAGGGGGTTGGGGACGGGGACGGGAGGGGAGTACAGCCGTGGCAAGAGATGGACGAATGGTGGATATACTGGTGTGAAACCAGACAAAGTAGAAAACAGGGCAGGTACAGTTCTGTTGTGACCACTGTGCCTTTATAGATAAGACTGCAGTCACTCTATAGCAGTCTTTGAGATGTCTTAATCAAATTTGTTTCTGACTGTGTATTTGCATCTTAATGTTAACCAACATGTGTCAGACTCAGAAATTCAGATCTTTTTCCTTCATTGGAAAAACTTAAGACCGAAGGACCTATTCAGGTCTACAGAGCAGGAATCATGTGGTTCCATTCTGTGTTTTTTCTTTTTTGAAATGGGGCTTGAGTGGCCCTTTTATGTTTGGAAGTATTATTGAGGAAGTTTGGCTAACTGAAACTTCCAGTTCATACTCCCATCTAAGAAGGGAGGGCAAAGCTTAATATACAAGAGGGATAACAGAAGAGGAAGACAGAAGGGCGAGGAGAAAGATGGGGTCAACAAGAGTAGAGAGTGAAAAGCAAGTAGAGGCTTGGAAAATAACTAAAATGTGAAGGTGATGAGAAAAGGGATGAAAGAAAAACAAAAAGGAAATAAAGATTTTACTGTTTTTGGGTAAAAATGCAAACACAGACATTTCAGTTGAGAGGACATGCTTCATGCAAGTTACTAAACACTGTTCCATATTTCCCCAGGCTCCTGTGTGCTGAAAAGAAGGAGGAAAGGGGGTCAGAATTTTATGATGTCCCTTCTCCAAGGTCTGACATCCATTTGCTATACATGTACTCCTATGTAACTGAAATCATAATCTTACAGCCTGAAACCAAGAACACAGTAGAACACACAAAGACCTGTCCAATATACAAACAAGTAAATCTGTACAGCTCTTGCCTTGCAGGATTCTGTGTAACATTTTTAGTGGATCTGTAGTCTTTATGCATTAGCTTAGTCCACTGCTGTTCATATGGCATTCTATGTGCATCAATGCTGTTCACGCAGCAAGTAAATCAGTGTAAATTAGAGAAGTTGTTTTGCCATATGAAGAGGTTCTTATATATATATGTGTGTGTGTGTGTGTGTGTGTGTGTGTGTGTGTGTGTGTGTGTTTGTATTTGCAAATAACATTGAGAGGCCTGAATGGTAACAACTATGCCCCCTAAAATAAACAACCAATAAAACAGTTCAACAGAAGGACATTTTCTGCATATTATCAAATTAGCTGACAGAAGATTTGGAGCAAAAGCACAGTACAACAAAGTACAAAAGAAAAAAGACTAGTTCAAATGATTTTACCATAAGTGGCCAAGTTTGATTTATTTTCATGTTACATGAGTGAGCATCTTAAATAAGATACAACTTGACATATTCAACTGTACTTTGAATATTAAAGATACATAAATGCAAAGATCCAAAATAATTATGCACTTAATAGATTTAGTCTTATAAGTAGAGGAGGCCTACTTACATTAAAAATTCTATCATGGTCAATTACATCCATTTATCTTCAAAACAAATAAACACAGAACAGGACTGCAGAAAACCTGAAGCTTATACTGGGAAACGTGGGGCACAAGGCTGGAGACAGCATGGATACAATACCAGTCTAATGCAGGACACACACTACAACCTAGAGACACTAATTTACTAAGCAGCATGTTATTGGACGGAGGGAGGAAATCCATTGAAACATAAGGTCTCACACCATGCATGCATAGCAGGTAGTGCCAATGAGACAGCAGCCCTGGGAAATCCTCCTGGGAATCCCGAGGAAGTGATGTCACTGCATTCTGAGCAAGGATGATTGAATTGTCTTATGGAGACCGATATTTAAACTAACCCATGTAATTTGACAATACTCAATCTTGAAACTTTTTTTGTGAGTATAAAGATGCCAGAGTACTTTTACTATCGTGTTCCTACCCAGGATAGTTTATTTTGTGAAAAAGTCTATTTCCTGACCACCTTTTCACCAGTTTTACTGTGTTTCCTGCCAGCTACCACTGGAATCCATAGTGCCTTCCTGTTCCCTGACCTCAAATTGGTTCTGTACTTGTTTCAGGTTAATAATGTTTATGACATTAAATGCATAATTACTCATATCTTTTAATTGTATTGCACCATATTTATTTTACACATTATATATTAAGCTATTTTGGTGTGATTGTAACGAGACCTGCTGTAGAAATGTTTTAGCCCACTTAGGGATATAACATTTAAAGTACCTATCTTTTAAGGTATATAGCTAATCTGTTATCTATATATCCATCCATTTATCTTCAATTATCACTTTTTCAATATGGGGTCTTATATTCTAAGAAAACAGGGAACATCTTGGATGTGATCCCAGTCCATTGGACTCGTACATAAGTCACTTGGAGATGCAGAGTCACCTAACTGCATGTTTTACGACTGCAGGAGGAAGGCCACCAAATATGGGGAAAACATGCGCATACACACACAGAGCTAGGACCAGGAATCAAACAACTGTGGAGGTGTGAAGCTGCACTGCTAACCACTGTGCAACCCACAACCTACTAACATTGACATATAAAATGATATTTCACCATATCATTAAAAAAGCAATTGTCAATGTAGCAAATGAATAATTTCATAATTGCCCCCCTAAAGTAGGAGCTATAATGGCGAGAACCAGATTGTATTATAGGAGTAATACTGTTTTAGGCAAAACAGAAGGAAATAGAATAATGGTTTGTGTCACTCCTAAGTCCATTTTGGCAAACAGAAACTGTCATCACATAAATGTGAATCCATTCACTGAATGAACCATCACAGAACTGGCACCAGACACTAAGCCCAGGAATACAACTCTAACTCCCCCTTATCTATTCTCACTGTTATAATGTGCAGGAACTAGGAAGTCAGCTTATACAGATTAATATTTCAAAACCAACTCAAAGACAACCCATCAAATATCCAATCTGGAGTACAATTTATATTACAGCAAAATTTCTTTAGTCTATTATAACTAAAGATCCTCATTGTTTGATGGATACTGACCACAGGAATCTTTAGCACTAGGGGCTGTCAAAGTCTCCCTGATTGTTGTGCTGACTACATCATCCAAATCTTCATGGAAAGGTGGAGGTCACAGCAGAAAGGAAGTCAGTAAAATAAGTATGGCCCATAATGAGAGACTTGACAACTAGAAGGAGAACTTTGTAGTATTTTTCTTTTATTTGACAAGAAGCCAATACAGTGAAGCTAAAAGTGTAGTGATATGGGTCAACTTCGGTTCTCTTGGCTGAACCCTGGCAGCACTATTTTGAAAATGCTATATATATATATTTTTTTTTATTAATATTATTTAAAGTACAAGGGAGTAACGGGGAAGCCACAGAAAAGTACAAAAGTGCAATGAAACAAATGCATAAATATGCTTTTTAGTATCTGGAAACTGTTTGTAGCAGAGCTGTTATGATTATACTATTAAACTTGATTACTCGATTACTAAAAAGCATCGATTAAAAATTTTCCTGCTCAATTATTCTACAATATGGTTGAAGGAAGATGACACATAGTGGATAGGGGTCCAAATAAAGAGCAGAAGCATGATTTCTGTGGAAGCACTTCACATTAAAAGTTAAAGAAAATGTAGACATCTTGCAGTATTGCAAAGCGGAACTTAAGTATCACCACAGAATGACTGCAATGCAAATACATCTAAGAAGACGACATTCAAGTTTGACGGACTCACCAGCTTAGCTTCAACATAGCTGGTTCTAATACCGAGAGGCTATTAAAGAGCTTAATTATCTGATTCAGATTAGGGTTGTAACTAAGCCCTACAGGGTGGATTGGGGACCCTGGCTCTAAACAATAAAAATACTGTTACACTTGAAACTAGTATTTCATACCCATTACTGTGCTATACAGCAACACTACTACTAGGAATTTTCTTTTCAATACCTTACCGAAGGCAAATTTGAAAGGGGGGTGTTTTCTTCTACTGCACTGGTGTATAAAATTACAAAAGCTGATTAATTTATTCAATAAAATGTTTTGCAAAACTAACTCTGTTACTGTGGCACTCATCAGTGATACATTTACAAAAAGTACACACTGGTAAGTACTGTACATTACACTCCAGAGATCATTTCCTGGGAAGAGATAGATGAGCCGTGAAAAGCTGAGAACATTTAGCAAACCATGGTCATTGTAAAATATTATGGAAATACTAATAATACTTTAATGCAACTGCCTTATACATCAAACCTTGAATTATACCTTGCCCATTGTCCACATTAGAAATTAATTTTATAAGTTATAAAAGCAAAAAAATTGAGCTTGCAATGTCTCTCATTAGACCAGGGTTCTTCAAATCTGGACCTTGATTCCAAATACAGGTCTTTTTTTAGTTCTCCTAGGCAGTTAGTTTAATAATTACTGATTCTGATTGGCCAGAGGCTTCACACCTGGCTCACAGGTGAAGGAAGGCTGGAAAATCAGCAGTGCTCAGACCTTCATGACCATGATTAAAATAGCCCTGCATTAGACTATAAATTAATATGTGGCCCCCGGTATTACTGGACATATTTTTTATTTATTTTTCTTGTCTCGTTCATAAACATAGCAGATTTCTTCAAAATTAAAAAAAAATGTCGAGTACCACCTAAAAGTGAAATGAGGATATTAATGCAGAGCACTGGGGTGGTATGATGACTTCACACCTCCACAGCTGGAGATTTAAATCCCACCTCTGATCTGTGTAGTTTCATGTGAGTTTACTCTGAGTAATTTAATTAATTATTATTAATTTAGTGTGTGTGTCCTGCAACAGACTGGCATCCCATCCAAAGTGTACCCCAACCTTATGACCAAAGCTGCCTTGGCAGGCACCAAGCCCCCTCCATAACCCTCACCAGGATGAGTGACTGGAAGATAGATGTATGTGTAGAATTGCTCCAATATAATACCAAATTTCAGCAATACAGTAGTACTACTTACAGGTCACCTGTGCCAGAAGAAGCTGCAAAGACCTAAAAACCAACCCAGCATGTCAAATTGTTGCAGACATGACTCAGTGTATAGATCAAGTTTTGTAAGGTAATACTGTGAAAATAGCATTGTTACAGGAGGATAGATTTGTCAATAATCTGGTAAATGTTTGTCCATCTATCCATCTTCCAACTGCTTATCCTGTTCCAAATTCAAGAGAGGGGTCCAGGAGCCTATCCCAGGCAGCACAGGGCACAAGCCACAAGGCACAAGGATGGGCTACATCCTGGGGTGGCAGAACATTGTAGGGCACACTCATACACTATTATTATAGTAATAATAATACTATAATATTATAGTAATTATTATTATTGAGTATTTTGGAGACACCACTAACCCAACTGCATGCCCTTAGGACTGCTGGAGAGTAACAGAGTACCTATAAGAAACCTACATGACACAGGGGGATTTAGAAGTTCACAGAAAATGCTGGTGGCGGAATTCAAACAGTACTACCCACTGAGTCACCATGGCATCCCTAGTACAAATTATCCATCAATGAAATGGTGGCCATATGTTCTGCAAAACCCTAGCCTGCCTGTGGTACAGACAGGAAGTGTTTAGCAATATGGATTGTAAACTTCATTTACGTACTACAGAGAAGGTGTGTTGTATTTTTTAGAGGCTATGAAACTGTTTGGTGCAGTGCTTTTCAAATTAGGTCTTGACATCACACTATGTATGCTGATTTTCGTTCCAGCTGAGCTCTTCTTTAATCAACCTGGATTTAATTGCTGATTGAATATAATTCAGGCTTCAAATCATGGTAAATCAAGCATGTTTCTATCATTTTACACAATTTAAAATATATTTGCGTTAAGGAATACCTGCAAATACAATATAATATTGAACCAAAGAAAATGCCTAAAATATTTCTAAAAGCAGGACACCAGACTGTCACAGTCGTACTGACATATAATGTTGTAAACTAGGGCCGCACCATGTATCCAGCACTTCATTAGTCGCAATTATTTGAATATTGTTCTAATATGACAACGCTATTGATCTTAATTTTTAATTGGTGAATAAAAACATACAGAACGTCACAAACCAGGCTTTTTCAGGCTGCTTACCAGCCTAGATCAGTCTCCTTTCAGCACCATAACGGCTTAATTCCCCACATGAAATGCATAAACTGAAACTAGGCTTTATGACACGTTTTTCATCTAGTCTACGGGCCATAACTGTTAGATAAAAATATATAAAAAAGAAGACATTAAGCTAAATTCACCCGTGAAAAACGTACAATCCTAATGCATAAGAATACGATCGAGTGTCATTAATAACATTCCGGTACAATGTTGTCGATACGGCCACACTACAAACTGACAGCGGGAATTCCTTCTGTATTTTTGCTATATTGCTATTTTTCCGTGGACTTAAAGTGACATAACCAACTATATACGATGTGATATTCAGCAGTTACAAAAAAATAAATCACAGTACAGCAGCTGCGCAGTTGCCTAATCAAGTATCACAATCGTTAACATCATAAGTACAAGTTGTGTAATTTAACTTCATCAAAACACATACACATCACTACCGCTCTATGAAAAATACAGATTAGTCATATACATATACATACATATACATTACGCAGCTTAATAGCACACTTCACCACTTACTCTTATCGGGACATAAATATGTGTAGAAACGAATTACGGTTTTACCCGTTTATTTTGGGAAAGCTGTATGATTCGTAATTTTATAAAGGAAAAAAACGATTGAATTCCCTTGTATTTCCTTTAACGGGTTCAAAGCGATGGTAGAGCGTTTCTGAGGCCCAGCTTTGTTGCAAGTCTATCGCATATCATCCATGTTACATAGATTACATATATATAGCTTATATTTTCTAACTAGTTATGTCTGACAGTGGCCTACCTCAAACTGCTCAAACAGTCTTATTTATTTGAAAGACTAGACATCATTAGGAGCTCCGTCTTGTTGCCAACTTACCTCCGCTAGCCAGCTTCGAGCTATGCTTTCCACCATCCATATCAGAGCGAACGCCACGGAAGAAATCTCCAGAATCTTATTACCCGTTTATTCCTTTGTATATCCTATAAAATATTTGAAATGTTCAGTCAAGAGGCGATAACAGTATGAGCAGTGGCGACTAAAAAGAAAGTCATCCTGCAGAGAGATTTTGAGGGAGGGAGAAATCGTAGGAAAGGGCTGGAGGACGACGGGGCGGGGTGTATGGTTTCTAATAGACGACTCCTTTACATAATAGATAACGAAACTATACACTATTTTATACGACACATATTATTTATTATACAAGCGATTAAACGTGTTAAGCATAGGCCTATATTAAATAATATTAAATATCGGGCATATTCTCTCGATTCCTGTTTCCTCGACAAACTCCCAGACTGCATTGCAGTTTACACACATTAGAGGTGCTTATGGTAATTAGAATTTTTTATTATTATTTTGTGAATTTGAACAAAATGATAGTGAATCTTGCTTGATGATATGATAGGGCAGCAGGTAACGTAATGCAACGTGAGGGAAACAATATGAGGAGCCGTATACCTATGAGCTAAGTATTCATTAAACCTGATATGTTTCAGTAACACAACAAGTCATTTAAATGGGTAAAAATCATAATAATGAGCACATCAATAATAATAATGATGATGAACCATCATAAACACTGCATCTCCTTTGTAGATCAGTTACTGTTTGGCTAGGCATTAGAAAGGTTTGTATGCGTGGTTCCCAAAGTGGTGAAATGTCCACTCTCCAGACATCTTTGCAGTCCCAGGTGTCTGCATCCGTTTCATTATATATTAGTTAAGGTATTTAGAAAGCTATAAACAGAACTGAAAACAATATTGTAATGTTAATGAAATACATTATAACCTAGGATCAGTGAAATTATGACAGCATGCTATAAAAAAGAGAGGCAAAAGAATACAAGCAGGTTTCAAAGAGATGATGATGGCCTAATGGGGGAAGATTCCTGTGCCTGTGATCAGAAGGTCACCAGTTCAAATTCCCTAGATAGTGGTATGATTTTACCAGTGGATTCTTGAGCAATGCCCTTAACCCCAATTGCTCCAGGGACTAGCTGACCCTCCTGTCAAATCCTCACTTGTACAACACTTTGGCAAAAGCCTTCACTAAATAAACAAATGCATAAGAAAGACCTGAGACAATCCCAAAACAAGGCATAAGACATTGAATAGGATTTATGACATGACTTTTTAAGAACATCAAGAGGACATTTTACTCTAGTCAAACATAATAGGTGGATTTCAATCTCCCACATGAACAGTAGTACTGTATGAGAGGTCTCTATTACTATTTGATGGGAAGAGTCTGTTTTTATATTTATATGGTTAGTTCTATGTTAACAGAATGGCAACAGGATCTAGCTACAACTGGAAAAGAACCAAGTTAGTAAAGTAGTACTGGAGGTACCCATCGGTCAGTGTGGCAGGTTGTACTGGTGCTAACCCTGTAAATAGTTTCCTGTAGTCGCCACGTACTGTAATGTCATGTGCTGTATATAGTTTCATGTGTAGCGTTAAATGTTAATCATTGTAAATTGTTTGTGTGTGTGTGTCTGTGTGTGTATGTGTGTGTGTGTGTGTGTGCTCACCATGCATGTTCAGAGTAAGGGGGATGATGAGCATGGTGAGCAGTGTGTGCGTGTTGTCCGTACGAATGATGTGGGTGCAAAAAAAAAAACAAAACACCATCTTCTGGTTGAACCTCAAACTGTTCTCAAATTGTGCCAGTGACATGGTTCAATTACCAACCTTTACAGTGGTGTCAGAAGCAAGATCAGAGGGGCACGATGACCACCTCTGACAGTGAGAAATCCCAGGAACTAAGCATCATGTCTTCCCGGGGCAACCTGATGGATCCAGCGTATCCCGCATGCCTTGCTACCCGGAAGAGCGAGCCGACACCTTCCAGCCTTAGTAAGCGGGAAAAGCAGAGTGAGGATGCTATGGTGGGAAAGAGTCCCTGGAGCCCTACCTCCACCAAGTATGCCTGGCAGCCTGGCATTCCATGGAGCAACAAGGAGATAGTGGTGCTCTTTGGCGCTGGAAAGGGAAGTGCTCCAAGCTCTCCTCAGCCTGACCCCCGATGAACAGCAAGACTGCGCTACCATGGTGGCAGTGTTGGAACTACTTTTCAGCTGACAGCCATTGGAGGAGGCAGAGAGGGCAGAACTGATGAACTGGCAGGCTTTTGTGGCAGACCTCTGCATTCTCGCGCAGAAGGGCTACCCGTGCATCCCCAGTGCCATGCAAGAAGAGATGGCTTTCCATGCTTTTGTCAAGGCACTGACATCAGGGCGGCTGCGCCAGCATGTGTAACAGTGGGCGCCAGCTACACTCACTGAAGCCTTGGCAAAGATGGAGGGGGCAGAGGCAATCCTGTCCCCAGCTGTAACATCACACCGGTCGCCAGGCATGCCATGCCAAAGTTACAACTGCGTCGCTGGGGGCTCTGACAACAATGAAGAACAGCAAGTGCAAGTGACCCACACCGAGCCACAACGAAGACGTCACACACCATCGGGTGCCACCTGCCACCACTGTGAGAGGTCAGGCACCCTATGAGTGTCCTGCCCCGGTGCCGAGCCCTTACCCCAAAAAGTGACCAGGAAACACCGGGCAGGTGGCATTGTAAGGGGGGGTGCCACTCGCAGTGCATGCCAGTCCACCCCTATGGCCGCACCCAGAGTTGGTCGGCTTGTCGAGGCTACCAGTCTATATGTTGACTGCCTGGTAGACAAGATGCCCTGCCCAGCCCTGGTGGACACAGGGTCCACCATCACCCTGATGTACCTGGGCATGCTACCAGGCACCAATGGGGCTGCACCAGCTGGCTGGGAGATGAGGGACATGCAGCTGATGTCAGTGACTAGCATGGATATGGCTATGAGGGGGAGGAAGCAGCTGTGAGTCCAGTTGGCCAGACACACATTGTGCAGGAGGTCTGGCTTCCTGACATCTCCGACCCCTGCATCATTGGTCTGGACTTGCTAGTTCATCTGAGGGCCACTATCAATGTGCTGGGAGCAGCTCTCTACCTCAAGCGGGACGGTCAGCAGTGGAAGATTAAGGTCCATGCGGCGTGGAAAGAGAGCAGCCCACAGCCCCCCAGGGGAAGACCACCAACGACACAGCCTCAAGCCCAGCTTGAATTGCAGAACACAGTAACAATGCAGCGGGGTTATCCCCCAAGATGGTGCAAGCTGTCCAGGAGTTGTGGCAGTATAAGAGCCAGGTCCTGACAGCAGAGCAACAGGATGAGCTCAAAGCTCTGTTGCACTCATTTCAAGACATCTTCATCACTAGGGATGAAGAATGCAGCCCACTTCCCTGGTGCAGCACCACATTGACACGGGAGACACCCCATATAGACTGTCTCTGGCGACGCAACAAGTGACAGAACAGAGGATCTGAGACATAGCAGCAGCGGGAGGCATAGAGCCATCCAACAGCTTGTATGAGGCTCCAGTGGTCCTCGTCAACAAAAAAGGATGGGTCGTGACGTTTCTGCATCGACTACCGACAGCTGAACGTGGTGACAAGAAAGGACTCCTATCCACTGCTACACATTGACGACATGCTGGATTACATCATCGGGTCGAAATGGCTCAGCTCCCTGGACCTCTACTGGCAGGTCAAGCTGGCTCTGGAAGCTTGCCCTAAGACCGCATTCACCATCAGCCATGAACTATGGCACTTCCAGTCAATGCCTTTCAGTTTGTGCAACACCCCTGCCACTTTTGAGAGGATGATAGAGTGTGTCCTGGCCAACATCCCCCAGATGAGCACCATCTAGTGAGGTCAGAAAATACAGCAAATCGTTCAAGAAGCATGGGTTTGGCCATGATTAGTTGGGAGTAGTGAGCCACAGCCACTAAACGGCCAGGCATGGACACACCACAAATACAATGTATTACAGTATGTGGAGGGGCACTGAAGGCAACATGGTCACTGATAGTCTATGAAAAGCAAATGTAAGTGAATTAAAAATGTTGCTGTGTTTTTATATGATAATTTCTCAAATGTTTTTTTTTTTATTTTTAGAGTCTAAGATTTTGACCTGTGCAATGCGTGGATGTACGAAAAGTTTGATTCTTTTAGATTGGAAAACCAGTTTGAACAATTCACTGAAAAGAACTGGTTCAAAAGAATGATTAGTTCACAAGTGGGACACCACTGTCATTCACTTGGATAGCTGTTTTTGCATGCAAGTAATGTTTCTCGCTAAGACCACATAGCCTTGTAGTTTGCATACTGCGTATAGCCTTGTAGTTCTCCAAGACTGAAAATTGCACAAATACAAATGTGATTCTGTGTTGTATGAGACCTGGACTGGATAATAGTATATCAATTGCATTCATAGCTCTGCCCTGCACATTGTAGCAGTGGAAACAGGCTTGTTTTCTAGTCTGCATTTTGTGGTGGTTCTTTAAGTAATTCGATTTACATCAAATGATTTTACTCCTGTAACATCTCCTGGCATTAACCACTATAACTCTAATGTTTCTTTTCAATAAAGATTTACTTGAACAAATTATGATTTCTGTAAATAATACTAAAAGCAAGAAAAATACCTTCCAGTGAGATCACAGGGTTTTGTACATTGTACAAGGGAATATGGTGATCTGTAGTATCGAAAACAGTACTTATATCCAGAAGCAGTACTACATAAATATTATTGTAATAACAATCAAGTCATTAGTTACATGGACATCTGCTGTTATAATGATATAGTGACTGATATATATCATAGACAGTACAATAGATGGCACTGTAGCATTACGCCTCCGGGGTTATGGGTATAATTCTTGTTCTAGGGTCTTTGTGTGTGTAGTTTGCATGTTCTTATTATGTCCCAACTCCAACATAGGGTGAACACAATTGTGGGAAAAGCATGGTCTAAGAACAAAAACAATTATCTTTACAGTAAGACACAAAAACACAAATCCACAGGGAGAGAATATAACTGCAATACAACTTGGATTGTTACAAAACAAACCATTCTGGGCAACAACAAAAAGGCAGAAAAAGAGTACAAAATTCCGTTACGACAATCATAAGAAAGTAATTTGTTACATTGACAAGTGCTGTTTCAGTGACAGTGATATTATTAGATTGTGAGCAGCATGATGAGTAGCTTGTGACTTTCATCAACTGCACCTCATCAAAACAATAAAGAGCTGTCAAACACGGCATTTAAAAGCTAAAACCGGCATTGCTTACTTTACCTCAAATAATACCGCTACCCCAAATAGGAATAGGGATACTTTCTGTAAATGTGAAGTAGTACACATTTACGTGTCTGTTTTTATATGTTTAAGTAGTTAAAAATAGTGCCTACCTCTATATATGTTGAAATGTACATTTTGCGCATGCGTGTAGAAAGCATATCAACGTTTATAACAGCGGTTACTATGGTAACAGACTGGCACAGAAAAAGACCCGCGACCACTTAATGGTTTTCTTGTGAAACACATCAGTCATAGTTACTACGTATTTACAATGTCAGATACGGGATCAGAGAATTTAGAAGAGCCGATTTACCTTGGAGTAAGTATTTAACTTTATTAGTTAGCTAAAACGGTCAGAAATCTTAAGCTAGGATAACTCACTGACGATAAAAGGACACATTAAAATGTGCTGGGTCGAAAATTTCATCTTCGACTGGACCTTCGCATCGAAAGTTTTACCCCCCTTCTGATTTAAACTAATGGTTCTCATTAATTAGCAACCCTTTATAAGGTAAAGTGCCTCATATATTACTCATATTTAATATTTAAGTATCTGTATTATTGGAATAGGAGTATCATGGCGATAGAAACGACGTTGGGGAGAGACACGGAGTCGGGAAGGCAGTGCTCCCCAACGGAGATACCTATCATGGAGTATATGAAAACGGCAAAAGGAGCGGAACTGTAAGCTGTGACGATGTCTAGCATATTTATTAATCTATATACTGTGTTGTTACTGCGGTTTTGTGGGTTTGATTTAGTAATGTTACTAATTTATTTCTTTTTAACTTTGTGATTCCGTACTCATTTAACTTGTTTTTTTCTATGATACGTTGATATTTAACGTCACATTTTATTTGTGAAACTTATGATTGGCACCCTGTTCAAACATTTTCTAGATTATATATATATAGCCTATGCATGCACATAATATTACTTGATTACAAATTACAAATACTACTTGAATGAACACAGATAAACTTCTGTGCTTTTCTGCACCAGGGAACTTACCTTTTTAAAAATGGAGCTTGTTACATTGGAGAATATCACATGAACAAGAAACATGGGCAGGGAATTCTCTACTACCCCGATGGATCCAAATATGAAGGTGTGATCATTTGTCAAACTGCAGTAAACTTGTTTTACTCCTTTCAGTTAATTTCATTTTGTTATGAGTACAGCCAGTTTGTTTTGTAGTGATCTGGTCAGTTTTCTTTTGTCTCTCTCAGGAGGATGGGTGAATGACCAACGGCAGGGTCACGGTGTCTACACATATAACAATGGAGACACATATGATGGAGAATGGTTGCAAAATCAGAGGTATAATTCAGTGGCTAATTATATTGTAGTAAACCACTTGCACATGTTTGGATATTTCATTATTTTCAAATGATTGATGTACTCATATCACCGCTCTTCTTGATTAGGTATGGGCATGGTGTTTACACCTATCATGAGACTGGCTCCAGGTATGTGGGTACCTGGATGTTTGGAAAGATTGAATCACCAGCAGGCGAGTTTGTCCATCTCAACCACAAATATCAAGGAAACTTTAACAATAATAATGTAAGATTTCTGCATAACCTTTCTAAGATGATTCTGATCATTTAATATTTCAAATGGTACTTGGTGTTGTTTAGCACATAATGTGAGCTTTAAGCATTTCCACATTGGAGACAAATTTTAATTGGGGGTACTGCAATGGCTCAGTCGGTAGAACTTTTGCTTCACACTTCCAATTTTGTTCAAGACACCCCAAAGGTGCTCTGGTGGTATCAAAACTGGTCCTAATGTGTGAGTGTGTGTCCCACAAAAGACAAGCATTCCATCCAGTGTGTCACCTGCCTTTTGTCCTGGTCTTCCTGGTTTAGGCTACTGGCTCACTGCATAACCCTGCATCAGTGGTTGTGCTAGATGGATGAAATACATGTCAGTATATTCTATTTTGTACAGATATTATTGCAACAAAACAAGTGGTGTTTAACATTCATATTATATATTTTGATTAAAGTCATAAGATATGTAGGACAGCACAGCGGTTGCCTCACACGTCTGATAACCAGGGTTTTAGTCTCCTCTCTGACTCCGCGTGTGTGGACTTTGCATATTCTCCCCACCATCGTGGGGTTTGTTCTGGGTTCTCCAGTTTTACCCCACAGACCAAAAACCTGCTAAGGTGAATTGGAGTTGCCAAATTGTCCATAGGCCTGTGTGAATGATGTGTGTGCCCTGCATTGGGTTGTCTCCCTGTCATGTGCTATTACCTGCCTTGCCCCTGTTGCTCCTGGGATAGGCTCCAGGTCCCGTGACCCTGTATAAGACAAGCAGCATTAAAGATGAATAAATAAAATATTTGTGTTTGCACAATGAGAAATTCAAGGACGGGAAGTTTGCTGACATTCTTTGCTTTTGACAATGCAGTCTTATTACAATGATTTCTTTATTAATATTGATATTTACTTTTTAGCCTTCTGGCCCAGGGAGGTATGTGTTTGACATTGCTTGTGAGCAGCATGGAGAATTCGGTCAAATAGATCAGGTAATTCATTATTGCGGTGTTTACTTGCAATGAGGATGCCTTTAATTATGTTTTAGTTCACCCTTTCTTAATAATGATTTGGATGGAACTACATGAGCATTTAGTATAGCAAGATTTTGTGGATCTGATTTATTTTGTCATGTAAGAAAGCCATAGTAACATATATTTAAATAATTTGATAAACCTAGTCATTTTTGATAAAACTGGAATATCGAGATCACGATTGAAATTATCAAGGGTATTTTTCTTTCTTTCCCTTCAGTTTCTTTTCCTAGATGTTGAAGTGGAACTTGGGCAGAGGGGGCCCTTGTCCAGCTTAGTGCCAGCTCCCAATATATACCAACTTTCAGTTCTATATGTGTCTTAGTTATTTTTAAACTTTAGTTATCCTGCATCTTATGAAGTCCATCCTTAACTGATGCTGACATTTGGTGACAGGAAAGGGTGCATGATGAAGAAGAAGACCCTGTTACTGCTGTACATCTAAAGTGGCATCCAGTTTCTATCTCTGGTCTTAGACACTAGCGCACCAGCCTAGTTAAAAGATCTCCTTCCCAGGTGAATATAACTTCAATGTTACTGCAGCTTCTATAATTCTATAATACTTATCCCACCAACCCTTGGTTTACTGGGTGTTTTGAGGAAAAAAGGGAGAAAATAACTGCATGCATTTTGGGAATGGCTTAATCAATGGAATCTTTTTAATCAGTGGTGCTACAGTATGTGTCAGAAAGTTATGCTGTGTGTTGACAGATGGCATGTGAGAGGCTGCATTAAATTGCTACTCCAGGGATAAACACTGATGAACTACCCAGAAGACTAAAGAGCAGAGGAAGATTGACTTCAGAGCAGTCTTTGTCTGCAGTCTTTGTTTTTTGTATGTGCCATGTTTTGTTCTAATAATGATTATTATGGCTGGAGAAAGTTCTTGATTTCACTTCTGTTGATTTTGTTAGCTGCTATGTTAAATTAAATAATTTAGAGTAGGGATTTACAACAGCTTGATGTCTGTGAACTGGTTTACATCATAGACTGGTAAAACAGCTATGGGTGTGGGTAAGGGGTATCAGTGGGTCAATCAGAGATTTTGTTTGTAAGTTTAATTGTTTCCATTTTTTCTAATGCAAATGGAATGCGCAAATGTGATGGGTTGTAAAAAATAAAAAAATATATAGTTTTTTGGGGGTGAAATTTACCAGCCCCCAGCATTCCGTGACCTGGTGGAATATCGGCCATAGACCACTACCGGTCCCTGGACCGAAGGTTGGGAACCCATAATTCAAAGGATACCCCTTCTGTACATCAGGACTTATCAATCTTAATGGTTCAAATGGCGTTACTAGATATTCATATGGAAGTTCAGGTTACGTATTGTTAACGGGGGCAGGACAGCTACTGCAATTTGAATCAGCAGCCTTCAAGCTACAAATCACTGAAATACCATAGTTGGTTTTAAAAAAATTATAAACTGAGACTCAGGGTATAAATTTATATAAGACTTACAATTAAAATATCACATGGTATTATTTGATATTTACATTATTTTTTGATTTACACATTTCGCAGATACATTTGTCCATAATGACATACAATTTATGGTAATAGCACATTGAAAACATGCATGCTGTCAAGTATTCTGCTAGACACAAGTGCTGCTAGGCTAAGCTTCCAGTTAATGGCCAGGTACAGGTGTGAACAGTTTTGGAATATGTGCTACACAACGACCTTTAATGAAGCAAGAACCTAATAAGACGATTCAAGGACCAGAAGTGCAACAATAAGAACATTTAGGGTATGATTCATGGAACAGATGGATCTTGAGGGATCGCTTTGAGGTGGAGAAGGAGTCTGATGACTGAATGTGGTTTAGCAGGTCATTCCACCTTCAGGGAATCATATAAGTGAACCATCTGGAGTGATACTTCTTGTGTGGTGGAGGGAACTGCAAGCGGTGTTGTCTTGCTGACCGTAGGTGGTAAGATTGGACACTGGTCTTGAGGAGGTTTTTGTTGGAGATGGGTGCCAGTCTACTGATGGACCTGTAAGCCAGCACCAAGGACTGAACTTAATGCAAGTGCTAAAAGGGACCTAATGGAAGAGAGACAAGGAGGGGTGTGACATGAGGACATTTAGGCTGAATGAATATGAGATGTGCTGCTGCATTTCATATAACCTGCAGTGGTCTGATAGCACAAGCTCTCTACTAGTAGAGAGCTGCTGTAGCGTAGTCGCAAGGTAACAGATGCCTGGTCTAGAAGCTGATTTGCATACTCAGACAGAATAAGCCTGATTTTCTTGATGTTAAACAGGATAAACCTGTAAGATTGGGAAAGCACTGTTATGTGCTGAGCAAAGGACAGCTATCATTATATTATCATACTATATGTTTGTTTCTACTACTGTTTAGCTTTTGTTAGTGGTCAGATAAGGGTTCCTGAATTCATTCATTTTGGTATATGCTATAAACTACAAAGATGATGCATAATGCTTATGTTTAAGTATCATTTGGATGTCATGCATTCTCTTACAGTTATGCAGCTATGAAATAGTCCTTAGCAAATGTGTGGGATTCAGGTTCATTATTAATATTTACATTTCTGTTATAAACACATTAGCTTAGTTTAGCTTACAGGGGCACTAATTCTTTTAATCATTTATTAATCACTGTTAGCTTTTAATCACCCTCCCTTTTCCGGGGTGAATGAATCAGATATCCTGATACGAGGGAGTACCCTGCCTTCCCCCTGGCATGCCTGTATTTCTTCTCGACTGCCACCTGCTTGTGCTAACCTGCCTGGTTGCTGTCTGCCAAAGCCATTTCTCCTGCCCTTCTGACTGCCTACCTGCCTGCCTTCTCCATAATGTTCCCGCCTTCCTGTGCTGTCCCCATCTGCCTGAATTTACTCTTCACCAAATTATGTAAACTTCTGCAGCCCAGTGCCAGGCAAAGGATGGGCTTCCCCCTTGAGTCTGGTTCTTCCCTGGGTTTTCCCCTTTCCCTAACAGCTTTTATTGTGTGTCCTTATGGCTCACCTCAACTGGCAGGCTCAGCGTTAAGACACATTAGGACAATTGCTGGCTCCAGTGCTCAGTTAACTGCTTCCCCACTTCCCTCAGCTGTCTTGCTGAAAGTCAGGCCCAAGGATAATGCTTAGGCATTTATGACATGTTTGAATGGACAGCTGTAGCATGTCAGTGGACAAAGGTAAGCATGTACATATTTAAGGCAGCTCCTCATAACTTGATGCCAAGACACTTGACCTGAGATAAGAAATTAGAGCAGATTATAGCCAGATTTTATTGGCCTGGCATTTATGCATTTGGCATTAATATCAAGTGTTTAAACTTCAAAGAAAGTCAGTGTGTGAATCTGGGTGCCATTTCTATGTATCCCTTGTTGCCCATTCAATTAACAGAAGTCCAGTTTGAAAGAATTGGCACGGACATGGTACTTGGGCCTTTTCAGCTGCAGTGCATGATGCCATTGGTTTATTTTTATGGTTTTGGACTATTTAACATGATGCCCGGAAACAGTGCTGCTATACAATGTTTTACCTAAAACTATCAAGGAAACTCCTTGTTTCTGTAAGATGCAAGTAAAACTTGCATCTTACACTCAAAAACAGATGGCCTAGTTGAAACCTCCAATACAATAAAATAAATTGAAATCCATCAAGGACGGCATGGTGGCACAGTGGCACAGTGGTTAGTGCTGCTGCCTCACAGCAAGAAGGTCCTGGGTCCTTTCCGTGTGGAGTTTGCATGCCCTCCCCGTGTTTGTGTGGGTTTTTGCCGGAGGCTCTTATTTCCTCCCACAGTCCAATAGTGTGCAGGATAGTTTGATTGTTGAGTCTAAATTGGCCCTGTGAGGGTGTGTTGGTTCCTGCCTGTGCCTATTGTTCCTGGAATAGGCTCTGGCCCCCCCTGCAACCCCAGTTGGGATTAATCGGTTTCAGAAAATGGATGGAAATCCATCAACAGGGATTTTCCCATTTAAATTCTTATGCGCCCTAAGGAATGCTAGGTGAATGTTTCCAGACTATTTACAAGCAAGGTGTATTTGCTTTAGGTCCAGAAGAGTTAACAAATCCAGTAAAGGAGCCAGATTGCACATACTATTAGTCACCATCTAAATTGCCCAAATCTACATTGCTAGCCAAGTGGGAAAGGTCATTCCTGGTCACATGGAAAATAGAAAACAATTGAAGTTCACCATATCACTCTTCTTACCTTAAAGGGAGCTGGAACTTGAACCGTTATCTGTGCCAGAAGTCATCTGGAATTTCGATTGGATTGGACAAGGAGCTTGGATTGGAACTACCTAAAAATACTAATCTACTGTATACACGAAAATATTGTTGAATGTGAAACTCATCATGTTTCCTGGGTTTAGTATTAAATACTTTTTTAATGGGAAAGATTTTTAATTCAAAGAGACAAGCTGGCTTAGGTATGCAGAACAGGGTTCACCCAATTATAATCAAAGTAAAACCAACCATTATGGCTAAATATGGTAAGTAATAATAATAATACATTTAATTTATAGGTGACTTTCAAGACACTCCCAATAATGAACAATCACAATATTAAATATATAATTTAAAATTATTATAATACTAAATAAAAATACAATAAAATATTACAGTTACACTAAAATCAGTAGTAATACAAGATTTAATTAATATATTATACAGAATAATACCCACACTCTGTCATGGAGTGTGAGCCCAGGAACAAATATCATCAGATAAGATCAGCTATACAGTATTAGCACACCTGTCTTCACTGGCTGCCGTTACAATTTCGAATACAGTATAAGATGTTGTTGTATGTTTATAAAGCTGTTCATGGCTTGGCCCCGGAATATATCAAGGACTTGGTGCTTATGAACTCTGGTAGATCACAAAGGTCTTCTAATTGTTTACTGCTCTTTGTTCCAAGAACACGTCTTAAAACTAAAGGGGATCAAGTTTTCTCAGTAGTTGGCCCTAGACTGTGGAATGCACTTCCCCCTGATATTAGATCTGCTCCATCAGTCGATGTTTTTAAAGTTCGTGTGAAAACATATTTGTATTCTGTGGCTTTTAATTCTTGAATTTGTTATTCTATGTTATGTGTCTGTTTGCTTTTAAGCCTTCTATCTTCATTTTTTTTTCGGATGTACAGTCCTTTGGTCTCCGTTGTAGTTTGAAAGGGCTATATAAATAAACGAGACTTGAGATTTGAGACTTGACCTGTAAAATATTGACACACTGAAACTGAATGCATGTAACGCTCGTGTTTGTGGAATTCACATTTAAAGAGAATGGATAGAAGGATAACCCACATATAACATGTTAGTTAAGCAGTATTGTACTATCAGGATTTAATTTATCTGTTAAAAATTGTGACAAATAAGGTTATCTGTCAAGATACATTTGGGCAGCATTCGATGCTCCGTTTATATTATCCTGTTGAGATGATTAAAGAATAGCGAATAATAAATACAAACTCAATTGACAATAGGAAACAAATTATTGTGGATACAGATTTGACACATCCTCCTAAGCTGTAGAGGGCGCCAGAGAATACCGAAAGAACATTGTTTTCGGCTGCTTTCTCTGACAGATTTGAATGTGCAGGCTGTAAACAATTGAAATCGAAGGCTTGCTGACCAGGGATTTCCGAATGAAAACATTATTGGATTAACATGGCGTTTGTTACTGCAAGTTGGAACCCACTAGGGGAAGCGTTTTACAGGTTATTACTTTTCGGATGGTTTTTTAAGGCCGATTTGTAAATTACGGAACTACCTACACGCGATGATAGCCACTGGTATTTCGGGACAATTTAAAAGTAAAAAGTGTATAGTGCGACATAAGGCACAGTGTTTCCTCAGCAAACTGTACAATTCCAATTTTACAAAGGGAAAGTCATGTCATGTCGGTCCTATGCAAGTTATTATCATTATTACCTTCGACCCGTAGCAATGCTTAGCGAACTCGGCCCTGACAGTCGCTCACATGATGGGTGTGTTTTTTTTTCTCACAGAAAGATCGAGCTTTATGAAATGGGATGGAACCTAAAGGAAGGACTCAGAAATTGTCAGATTGCAGCAGCCCCTTATGGTGGTCCGATTGGTAAGATATTTCAAATTAGTGATAGGACTCAGATTTGCTAACATGTTAGTAGTGCTTTTCGTTGTTGCAATTTAATTGGTAAGTAGATATCAAACAGTTTAGCTTGCAACTGTTAGCAGTTACACTTTAATAAAAACCGGTACCAGGGTCTATGAAGAATGAGCACCAGCAATATTTTTGTTAAGTCCAGTTTCTTAAATGATTATTTGAGCTTTAATGGATCTAGGTAAACTGTGCTTTTACTTTTCTTTTAGCTCTGTTGAAGGAGCCCCAACGATCTTCACCTAGTGCACGGCCCCAACTAGAGATCTATACCTCTTCTGGATCTCCCATGGCTAGCTTTATGGTTTGCCCATATTTATAGTCATGCACTGTTTGAGTGGTGCCATTTTTTCTGTGACTGAAAGAGCTGCTGTGAAGATAGGAGGGTTGTGTGTGGGTTGTTCAGTGGCATATACAGTCTTTGTAAAACTTTCTCTGATTGAATTCAGTGTAGATTTTAAAAATGAATATTCACATACTGTTTTCTGACCTGTGGTTTATGATTCCACAGTGGAAGAGCGGAGTGGTGAAGCAGCTAGGCTGGACAATCAGCGATGACTTATTGTGTGTGCAGGAGGATGGCACTGTACTTGTATATGACTTGTTTGGTTCCTTCAAGAGACACTTCAGTATGGGCAATGTAAGGAAGAAAGTAGCAGCTGACCACACATATAAGCATCTGTCTCATGACATATTCAGAACCTCACTGCTTGTATATATTGTGCAGCACATTCTGTTGCATACATTTGTGCTGGTATTCAGACTATTCTGTGCATTTGTCAATTTACAGGAGCTTGTTCAGAGTCATGTGCTGGAAGCCAAGATTTTTCACTCGCCCTATGGTACAGGGATTGCTGTACTTTCTGGGGCCTACCGATTCATTCTTGCTACAAACATTGAAGATATCAAACTTCGTCGCTTACCAGAAGTCCCAGGTACCAAAAGCACCAGGTTCTTTGTCTTAGTCATGCTGTCTTTCATTAAGTCTTTGTTTTACTTTATTTCATTAGTTGGACTCATAGTGTATGGACTGTTACAGTTAGACTCCTTATGTTCTTCCAGGTCTACAGGGGGTGCCCTCCTGCTGGACTGTGCTTTCACAGGACCGACAAACCAAGGTGTTGCTGGCCACTGGTGCAGATCTATACATCTTGGACAACACTGCCTGCACACCGGTGGTGAGTGGCAAAGGCACTTTTATATCCTGAATATTTTGTCCTTTGTGAAACATATACTGACAGAAAATATATGCCGGCATATTGTATCTCTGTGAACTAATTTATATCTTTTTAACTGTGGATGCCATATGTGTTTAAGAGCCCCTCAGGTTTCTCCCCCCAAGCCACCAACATTATCCAGGTTGCTGGTTCCTTCAGCTACAAGTATCTGGCTCTCTTCACAGATTCAGGTCATGTCTGGATGGGCTCTGCCAACCTAAAGGTGGGTGAGATGGGCTGGCCTATTCTGGGGTAAACACTGGATATGCTTCATTAACCCTCATAGAAGTTTATAGTCATAGAGCTTATATAAGACAAACTCCTTCCTGGGTTATTCCCTGCCTTCCGCCCATAGCTTCTGGGATAGGTGCTGGACCCTTCATATGGCAAGTTAGTTTAGAAAAATGGATGGATGGATTTTGTTTCAGTTGCATGTCGGGATTAAACAACACTGAACTTTAAGGTGTGTAGAAAATGTGTTTTGTGGATAATCATGTTCTGTAAATACACACATACTTAGGTACTAATCAGTACCTCAAATACTGCCTTCTATTTAATCATACTATAATGTTAGTTATAACACTAAGGGGGTTTATTAAGGTAAAATGGAAGGTGATGGTAGTTGACCTGAAATGTATCTTTGTTAGGAAAAACTCTGTGAGGTCGACACCAAGATGCGGACCCCACCGACACAGATGGCCTGGTAAGCCTTTTGATTCTGTGATAAAATGTATCTGTTTATAAAATTCCCAAAAATCATACAGTGGTTGCCCTTTATTAAGGTGTTGGAGGCCTAAGAGTCAGCAGCCATCAGTTGTGATCATGTGGGAAAAGTACCTGCTGGTAGTTGGACCATGTAAAGACACAATTCAGTATCCTTTAGCCCGTTTTTTCCACTGAAACCATGGTGGATGTGAGGCATTTGCAGAATTAATAGTTTTTGGCCCTTGTTGTCCTTAACCTTTTGTTTGGGTATAACCTGGATAATGAATCTGTTCTGGTTCCGGAGCTTGATAGTGTGAGAATCATTAGTGGGACCCACCATGAGCTGCTTCAGGAGGTTCCAGGTCAGTATGTCCTGGTATCTACAGTATATCACTTGTATTTTCCTGTAATATTTTTGAAATTGTAATTAGTGGTGGGTGATATGGCCAAAAAGTCATATGAGGAGTTATTTGGTTAGAATCACGATCCATGATGTAGATCACAATTTTTAAAGTTTGTTTACAAACCAATCAAATTGGGATATATGTAGTAATGTTAATTGACCATTTACCACTTAACCAGCAATTCTATTCTATTACACTGCTTGTAGCATTATAAAAATAAACTTAATTATTAAAGTATGAAAAATATTGTGCGTACAAAGAAACTGATTAATTATAGCAAAAGTGCTTGTTTTTCATACTAAAGTTTAGAACGTTTTGAGTGCAAATGAAGATTTATCACTTTGGTCAATAACTGTACTGTTCTAAAGTCAGTTTACAACAAATACAAATTGATTGTGTTGCCACCTGTTATATGAACAGTATCTTTGCAAAGTTTGCAAATCACAGGAGATTTGGATTTCGCAGCATCCAGTCCATTTCCTCACAATTGAAGTAGAACTTTTTCTGGAACTAAATCTTCTTAAGCTGCCATGCCACACGCTCCGTTAATTTGACAGCACTGTCAGCCCTTCTAAGGATCATGTGTTGTTTACAGCATGACACGAGTGCTGTTTTTTTTGTGGTTCAGTGGCATGTAAAGGTATTTGCTTGCTTGTTTGTTTTCATCACCAAGTTCAGATCCACTGGGACAGACAATTGACAAAGAAGTGAGATATACAAACAGCGCTGAGATGTTTTGCAGGCCAAAATTGCTTTGTCACACATCAATTTGTTTTTGTTGTAGTACTGCACTTATAGTTCATTCTGTCCGTATAATGATAATATTAAGTAGTGTACTTGTAACTGGGCATTTACTAGAAGCCCAGTCTAGCTGCTGTTATGCCAAGTTGACTCCTCGACAGCACGTATGTTTGTAATGTGCAGTTTGCCTTGCTTTACTTTGCTTTGGACTAAAGTGTCTGCTACATAATAAATGTAGTGCTGGATTGTGATTCTTTCCATCACTGATATGCTATCATGAATACAATTGCGACTGGTCACGATAAATCGTCATCATATTGCCTACCACTAATTAGAATTTTACTAATGAGTAAATAGTTCAGGGGTTTTCAACCTTATTAGGTGACTACAAGATGAAAACAGACCTGACTAAGAGACTCCCCACCAGGAATGTATGACCACAAAAGTAATTAATTTACTATATGCTTCTGTGGACCCCCTGCAGTTACTCTATGGGCCCCCCAGGGGGTCATGGAGCCCATGTTGAAAACCCCTGGAATAGATCATCATATGCAATCACAACACATATGGTAATGCTTTCTTCTTGTCATCATCCTGGCTTTTTTTGTGCACTTTTCAGTGGTAAGTGAGGAGATATTTAAGATCGCCTCTATGGCTCCCGGAGCTCTGCTTCTTGAAGCACACAAGGAGTATGAGGTACTGTGACATTTTGTGGGTTTGCCTTTTGGTGTTTTGCTGTTTGCCTGAGAATGAGAACTTATTTTTTTCTTGAAATATATATTTCTTGGTGAATGCAGAAAGAAAGCCAGAAAGCAGATGAATATCTGCGGGAGATCAAAGAACAGGACGGGCTGGGTGAGGCAGTGAAACAGTGTGTGGAAGCTGCTGGATATGAACATGAGCCAGAGACACAGAAGATGCTGCTCAGGGTGAGACCCTGGGATTGGGCTAATGGACAGTTTGATCTTCGAAATATTGGTTTATGCTAGGTCATGAAATTAAAAAATTACATATATGCATTTAAATTAACAGATGCTTTTGTCCAGTGTGACTTGAAAATGGGGAATGTTTTTGGGGTCAGTGAGTGGGGTCATCCAGGATCCCTGAAGCAATTAGGGTTAGGGGCCTTGCACGAGGGCCTAGTGGTCAGGTCACATGATCACTCTGCCAGCCCCAGAGGTTTGAACCTGTGACCTTCCAGAACCAGTCACCGATAATTTGCTGAGTAGGCAGTGGACTGACATATAGCCTACGATCTCCATTTCAGCAATTGCAAAACAATGGTCCAGAAACAGCCTTTAGAATGAGGTTTGAGATGAAGATAGGATGCAGCTTTATGATTAAAGGAAAAGTATGTCAGAGATGGAATAACATGATATTTACTTTTTCCTGCCCTTCTGCGACACTAGGCAGCCTCCTTTGGGAAGTGCTTCCTCAGTAATTTCCGTCCAGAGCAATTTGTCAGCACGTGCAGAGATCTGCGTGTCCTCAATGCTGTTCGAGATTACACTGTGGGGATCCCTCTCACACTGCAACAGTATCCTTTCAGTTTCTAGGAAGATGCGTCTTCATGCATGCAGACATTAATTTTCACTTTCTTGCCCTAGGTCTCAATTGAGTTGAATTTCCATTTCCTCATAGTCTGTATACGTTTGAATATAATAAGGTGAATTCTGTGATTTTTTTTTTTATTGGTATAAATATAACGCCAGACTAAACTGGAAATGCATGTGGAAATTTGCAGGCATGTAAAACATGAATATTAATTTCTCATGAATGAATGAAATGAATACATACTATTTAATTTTCAGATTAAGTATCTTTATATGTATTTATTAATAATTGCACTTTATATATTCAAAATACAAAGGCCCCATCCCTGTGTAGTAGTACATAATATTTCACTAAAATAATATAAACATTTAAATTACCAGCTAAAAAATCGATATTTTAACAGAATTACAATTGATTCTCAAAATAACATTCATATTGAAAGAGTCGATATTTCAGTATTGATCTTCACATCCTTAATACATACAGACGCTCCCAGCATCCTAGTTCTTTGTACTTGGTATACCCTTAAAAAGATGTTGAATAACGACTTACGAACATTTCAAGTTACGAACTGCCGTTTGGAACGTAACTCATTCGTAAGTAGAGGAGCATCTGTATATTCTTCAAGAGTGAATACCAGTTAGGTATTCTAGAAAGAGGGTTCAGGTTTAAACTCTATCTCCGACACCACGGTAAAGTTAGCTTTATATTTGAAATTCAGTTTTTCACCTTTAATATCTTTCAACAAAAGTAAGCAATATCTGTCAGTTGTCCAGATTGCTTTATGGTCAAATTTTAATTAATGTTTGAATGTTTGCTTGTGCACCTCAATAGCTGTGATTTGCGTATAGTCACTTGTGGTAAATATGTGTTATTACAATTATACCACTAAGTATAATTACAATAAGTACATATAAAAATACATAGTCTGAAAGTTAAATGGTATGCATTATACCCCATAGTCTACTGCTTAAAGCACACTTACTGGACATGTTTATTTTTTATCACCTAGCCCTAGTGTACAGTACAGTCATGAGCGCTCAGCTTCCAGATGTTGCAGAAAGAAAGCTTGATAAGAAAACTGTATATTCTTAGCTAAACAATATGAAAACACTGACAAGATAGAATCCTTAAGTCTACTTTCAGGTATAAGCAGATGACGGTGCAGGTACTCATTGACAGGTAAGGTGACATCTCTTCTAGCAGGCTTACCAGTATTTGTGTGTTGGTCATTGCTTGAATGAAAGCTAGGTCAAGGTAACTGGGAAAAGTGGGACAAAGGATTGTGTGTCCCCACTCAGGCTGGTGTACCGCAAACTGTACCCTCTCGCCATTGAGATTTGCCGCTATCTGAAGATTCCCGAGTACCAAGGAGTCAGTAGAGTGCTGAAGCACTGGGCCTGCTGTAAGGTGGGTGCCCATCACAAAATGTCTGATACTCAAAACAAAGCACTTTCAGTTATGTGTTTATTTATCAATGCTCCCAACATCTTTTGCTCAGGTGCAGCAAAAAGAAGAGGCTGATGAGGTCATTGCTCGAATGGTCAGTCTGAAGCTAGGGGAGACTGCTGGTATCTCCTACTCTGATATTGCAGCCAGGGCATATGAGTGTGGCAGGACAGAATTAGCCATCAAGGTACAACCATCTCTTTCACTTTGCTAAAATATGCCACAGGATAACAAGCACAGTGAAGTCACTCTCCTTCTCTCGTAGCTCCTGGAGTTTGAGCCTCGCTCTGGCGAACAGGTGCCATTACTCTTGAAGATGAAAAGGAGTCAGTTGGCCCTCAGTAAAGCCATTGAGAGTGGAGACACTGACCTGGGTACAATGCAGTACCACACGCACAGATGCTTATATCATTACTTCTCAAAACAGTCGTCAGGGACCCCCAGATGGGGGGGTCTCTCTCCCAAAAAAAATGTGGACCATCTGTGGGGTCCCCAAGGACTGATTTAAGAAACACTTGCTTTTATCATATTGATGATCACAGTAAACCGTTTACGAGGCTGACACATTAATGTTAGCTAGTCCTCTAACATTGTGCTATAACAATTTGCTTCACCATATGTAGAGACCATCAAAGCTGATTACAAAACATACATAAATATTGGGTGTTTCTCAATACCAAGAACATAAAGATTGTACTTGTGGTCTTGGCAGGAGTCGTCTTGCTAACCTACCTCCCAAGAACGAAGCGGGAACGCAATGAATCATGGGATTGTTCTCATTTGGCAAGGATGCAACCAATGCATTCTTGATATTTTGGGTGGGGCAAGATCAATATCCAGGGAATTTTTACCGTCCTCTGTACTTCTGTTCTTAATTTTGAAACTGGTCTTCGGCAATAGAAGATGACCTGGAATGTGTATGTGAGAACACAAGTATGGTCAAGTATGCATATTGAGAAACATCCATTCATGCCTGCTTGGGTGTATGAAACTGATGCTGTTCCCCTGCGTAATCAGTTTACACAGTGGTCACATACTTGAAGAATGAGATGAACAGAGGTGATTTCTTCATGACCTTAAGGAACCAGCCAATAGCTCTGAGTCTTTACAGACAGGTGAGAATAAAAAGGTTTGTCATATAGGTTTTAGACTACGCTGTCCATTGAGGATTTCCTGTTCACAGCTTTATCTTTTCATGTTTAATTGCATAAAGTGGTGGAACAGTTGCTTAAGTCCATATCAGCAGATGTGAAACTACATGTATGTCACATTGAACAGAAAAACTTGTTATAACTAAATAGAATACATGTATATGTCAGTTTTGTAAGCATCAAGAGCAGGACACCCTTAAAGACCTCTACAATCAAGATGATGACCACCAGGAACTGGGCAACTTCTATGTGAGAGCTAGTTACCAAGAAGGGGTGAGTGAAGTAACTGCCTGTACCTAGTCTTGCTTTAGCACAATTTAAAACTATTTAAAAACACGAAAGCATAGATTTTGGCAGGTTTAAGCAAGTAAATGTGTTACTGTCAGTGAAGCTGAAATTTATTGCTAATTGTTATTGGCCTGAATTGTTTTGCAGAGGCTGGATACACGCATGTCATGCCTGCAGAATGCAATGGATGAGTACAACAAGGCCAAAAATGAGTTTAATGCTAAAGTAAGACACATTTTAATTATCAAACAGAATGATTAAGTGAAGTTTACATGAAGTGCTTAAATTGAAATAAATTTATGGAGGTGGTGGCATAGAATAGGTTTTGGAGCAAATAGTGATGGGATACATCTCAACCCCAATCCTGAAAATACTGAATTCTGCCTCACATTTGCCTGAAACTTAATTGCAAATACATGAAATTACAGTGTCTGGAGTCCTGGGTCTTAAAATCAGTAACGGGGTTTTATAGAACTGCCCCGCCTGATGTCAGTGTGGGCTGATAAATTGCATTGTAAAGTTCATAGTAGCTCTGATACATTGTCCAATTCTGCCCTCTAGGCCACAGAGGAGGAGATGCGTCTGTTGCGGTTTCAGCGACGCCTGGAGGAGGAGAAGGGGGAGAGAATGGTGGGCTGTTCCTTACAGGACACCCTGCACTGCCTGCTGATTGTAGGATTGCACAAGCAGGCTGAGCAGCTGTATAAAGACTTTCGTGTTCCTGACAAAAGGTGAGGGAGACAAGAAAATTGAGCAAATTCTAGAGTAGTGGTAGGCAACCTTGGTCCTGGAGTGCCGGTATCCAGCAGGTTTTCTATCCTACCTGGTCTTTGATGAACCACACCTGATCTCAGGCAGATGGTAATTCATTAGGTGGAATAGAGAACTTGCTGGATACTGTCACTCCAGGATCTGGGTTGCCTACCCCTGTTCTATAGTTTGCACAGGGGGGTTAATAGTAGTTTATGCTTTATTCTTTTCATTTTGCAAGCAACTATGATTAAACTTTTTAAACAGTACATACAAAGCCAAAACACCACCTATTACCCCCATCCTGCATATGCCTGACATTAAGGTTTGATTTAAATTTTATTTAAACAGGTACTGGTGGCTTAAACTCAATGCTTTAGCAGAGAAAGAGGACTGGGAAGAAATGGAGAAATTCTCAAAGACCAAGAAATCACCTATTGGATACCTGGTACACATTATCAATTCCTTGTTGAAAATGCTTCTGAAACAATGAGAGTACCATTGAATTGACCCATCTTCTCTCCTTTTTTTAAGCCTTTTGTGGATGTTTGCATAAAGCACCACAATAAATATGAGGCCAGGAAGTACGTGTCAAAGGTCACACCAGAACAGAAGGTGAAGGCACACATAGCAGTAGGGTAAGTGCTAGCCTGTCCACTCAACATTTCCTTGTAGCTGCAATAGATTGACACTTTGTTCACCTTTGTTCTGCCCAGGGATCTGGAGGGTGCTGCAGAGGTTGCCATTGAAAGGCGCAATGAAGGGGAGATCAGCCTTGTTCTCTCCCATTGCACCGCTACTACTGACAGAACCATTGTTGACCGTCTAAACCGAACACGGGCTACTGCTGGCAAGAAGTAACCATGTACAACAGGCAAATTTATTCTCTGCCCCTTCATGTGAAGTTATGTTCAGTGAGGGATAAAGAAGTGTACAATGAAGAGATGTGAAGAACATTCCCATTTAATTTTGAAAACGCTATCTGTGTTGTTAAAATACATATTGATTGAGCAGTTTTAAACTGATGGGTCATAGTGTGCAAAAGATCCACAGTGAATATAAAAGGATGCAAAGACTATTTCTGTTCTGACAGAAATTACACATTTGCTTTTTTTGCTGTCCTGCAATAAAAAAAAGTTAATGGTAAACTTATAAATGGACGGAGTATGTTTGCATCTCCATGCTGTACTTACTAATTACTAATAATGATTGTGCATGTACATGTAAATAGATGTCACCTGTTTCTTTCTGGCTTGGACCTCTGTAAATTTAACAAATGAAATGTCATCTTCATTAAACTGCCAGGTTAATCAGAATTCCATAAATCTCCCAGATTTCAGTGAAAATATGCTTGTTTGTTCTTTTTCTTGACACATCCGTAGCCTTTATTTATCACAGTGGCATAATATACACAGGTCTTTGTCTTCTGTTCAACTTCTCATAGCTGTGAATCTGGTCTAATTTACATTGCACACTTCAATAACGTAGGGTGACATTTGTATTATGTGTGACTAAGTCACTGTTTCAATTCTTGCCAAGCTCGATTTTAAATCGGATAAACTGATCAATTGAATACTAGGCATACTGCCAACCATCAGCTGTTGGCACATGTAAGTTCTAAGCAAGTGTTTTTCAACCCAGACCTTGGAGACCTCCACGCAGTCCACACTGTTTGCTCCCAGCACTCAACACACCTGTACCAGGTATTTGGTATTCTTGATTGCTTAACTTTGGTTCAAGTGTGCTGGTAGCTGAATGGGAGGAAAAATTGTGTAGTGTCTGGGGGTCCCCAGTGACTGGGTTGAGAAACACTGTTACAAGCCAGAAGCATGCATCGGCTTTGTGAATCTTCCCAACATACAGTGTTCACCATCTTCACAGAAAACTTAAGTGACAGAAACAGGAGAATAAAATTTCTGTACTAAGAAGATACATTAGCGATGTATATAAATTTACTAAGGTATTAATTGATTAGTATTTGTTAACAACCAAGGCCATATTCATCATTTATTTATTTTTTTTAAACTTGGGGGCTACCATAGACAAAGATGTATTACTATATCATTTTAAACATAAGCTGAAACACACATGCTTGGTAAAAATTCCATACACCTCATTGCTTCTTTAGGCTTATGCTAGAGTGACCTCTTCAATACTTCTGCATAATTGTAACCCTAAAATAACACCGAAAAAAACAGGTCATTTTTGGATCATTTTAATTGCCTTCTATCTATGGCTTACTGTAACAATTGTCCAAGAGACGGTTATTACGAGATACCACAAGTTGTTACAAACTTTAGAGCAGTACATCTAAGTGTAGTTTATTGCCAATATTGATAATGCAACAGACACAGGCCCTGGATAAAATGGCTAAAAATGAAAGTGTCACATCGAACAGACATTACACTCGCAGATCACACAAAAGATGAATTCTGGCACATGTATTACATTTTACTTAGCATGTGGTCTCAGTAAATAAATCCAGACCGAAGACCTACTATTTTAGTTTATACCAGCCTATCTTGGTCTAACTTTTAATTAATTTAATGAGCTCAATTAAATACTACTACAGATGCTGCTGTATGTCTTCATTAATGTCCCTTATTAGTATTCAGTTTCTCTTCTCCATACCTGTCAGTGCCCTGAACATGAATGGAATGTGAGCTGCAAAGCCCACAGTCTTGATAAACGGTGTTAATGCAGTGAAAAAATAAAGTTCCCCACATCCCAAGTACTCAAATGCTTAAAATTTCTATGAATTTCACAGTGGTAAATAGCTCTTTGTTCACCCCTACAATAACATGTATGATATATGCAAAACATTATACAATCAAATTTGTATTAAATAGCTTGATTCTGCAGTGTTATTTTGAACAAAGTATATGTTTTGCACATTCCTGTGCTGCGCTGTTACAGAACTCCATGTCCAAGATCAGCAAAATGTCAATAAACACTACAAACTCTTACATTTACTTTACTTTGCACTTTCATTTTGAACATTTTAATGCATGTCTAATCAGGTTTATCCTTACTTATAAAGTTCTGCAAAATATTTGTTAAAAAATACTCCTGGAAAAATATAAATTACGTACACAAATGTGTATAACAACAGAGATCTTTGATTGAATGGAATGATTTTGTGTGCACACAAGTGTGACAAAAATACATTAGTTTAATATTATAAATATAGCTAGTGTATAGATTACCCTGAAACGAGCTAAACATTTGTTCACATGCTAACCGAACAGCATCAGTTAACGATGTAATTGTATAATTTACATTCCTTAGTGAAATACCAATTAAACACTTCTGCCACTTACTTTTGCCATCTCTAGTCCATTCTACTGTCAGTGTAGCAATAACTTTGTGAAAATTCTGTCCTTCAGGTACATACTTTAAGTTCAACGTTCACTTCTGAACTGGTTTTTATTATTCGGGGGATGATGAAATTTCAGTACCATCCACCAGTAGAGAATGGATGATGCCCTCCCTTCTCCTGCCACTGCTCACAGCCTTGATGCAGCAATCATGGTCACCGATCATGAAGTGTGTCTCAGTGCCATCATCTACAAACTCTCCCTAAACAACAAAGGAGTATTGGAACATGAAAAGATATTCAGTAGTCTATGTGCAAGGAAATACAATTAGATTAGAGCCATATACTGCAAATTGAAAACAATTTGAAATCCCTGTCTATAAATAAAAAAAACATATTGACTATTGAAACTTTTAAATATTATGTCAGAACTACTAACCACCAGTTATTTTAAATGACAAGCAGTTTCTTTTCAGAATCATTAATGATTAGCAAATACTTACTGCAGTCTCCATCTTCTGGCCATTGCACCATATGTCCATCGTGTCTTTCTCTATCAGAAAATGTCCACAACAAATTCATTGAGAAGTATCAATACATTAAAAGTTTCAGGTTAATCATTTTTCCATACTACAATATGGGTTTACTATAAAATTAATATATAAAAAATGTAAACAACAAATGGAACTAGAGAAGACAACCTAGCATGCTTGTTGCATTCAAAAGACTGCTGAACATGAATTCTTGCAGTATTTTTAATAAATCAACAAATCTAATTTGGTCCTATTTGGTCTTTATGTTACAATTTGTGAAAATACAGATTACTGTTTAACAGAAATATAAATTCCTGAAAATGTATTACATCTTACCTAAGACTATTCTGCAGTCAGCTCCATCAAGATTTAGCAGCCATGTGTTGGTGATCTTCGATCTATTCTCCATGTATGACTTGAGACTCCTCCCATTGATCTCCAAAGTATATTCATAAGCAAAACCACTGATAGCATCAATATTTATTGTGGCTTTTGTGTCTGTCCCACCCACATTGAATGTCTCTTTTCCAACAAGTTTGAACATCCAATCCCTTCTCACAACTTCCTGTTTGAAAAATAAGCAAGTTGAATACAATCAACAAAAAACAAAACAAAAATGCTCACTCATTCAATTAACTCAAATACACCCAATAATTACATGAGGACAGGTTCAGCTGATCTTTTCGATCATGTGCTCCGTGCCTGCAGGTGAAAAGAGGATTTTATAGCTGCATGGGATGGTGGGTATGTCTTTTGAAAGACACCTGAGGATGTCTGACGAAGATCCCTCAAATATTGCATATTTTCAGGTTTTAGTTTCCAGTATGTTGGATTTCTCTTCATATAGAAGTACTGTTCCTGTTTTCTAGTTCCATTTTTTATAACAAAGCCCCTTCTCGTGTCTTTGTCCTGCCTTGAAGCAGATTGCTGCTACGCAAGGTAAATATCAACTGTCTTCTGGGTCTGCTCCTATAGATATAACTATTGAAACAAGCTTTCAGTATCAACACATGTTTATCAAATGTTTTATTATGAAAACTGAAAGATAAACTATATAATTACAAACCATTCATGCTCCTTTAAAATCCACATATAAACCAAATGGAACAAACAGGAACAATTTAGCACAGACTAGCAATATTTCTGTGGTACGGAGTCCCTGAAGGGACCCGTGCAATCAAAATTATGTTACTTTCGTGCGCACACAATTTACATATATTGTAGTGAATAAATACAATGAAGAGTGTTAACAGTGTTCATCCCATTTTAATTCAACAAATGGCCTTTGTATGACAATTTTTGATTTTTATGAAATATGGCATTTGAATTACACATATTTTTTTGACTTTTTAAAATTTCCCTTTGAGATATAATGCATTTATACTCTATACCTTGGGAAGTAAACAAGACCAATTTCCTTTTGTTAAATGACTCACCTATATCTCTCTGGAAAAGAGAGGACATTTTAAAATTTTCATTTAACTTTTGCATTAAGTCTAAGTTTCTTTTTTCAAGGTCAAAGTTCATTTCATAAACTGCATTTTTAAAATTATATTTGGTTATTAAACTGTGAAGAAAACATTGACCTGTTACATAAAAGCACTCATTTTTTTTTATGCTCTATTTGAGCCTCAAATAAAGAACATGGAGGAATGGGTAAAATATTTTCACTTAATTGGGAAGAAAGTACTGTTTACCTGTTTTCAAATGAAAAAATGTGTTGCTATTCTAAGGGATGTAGGAACTATGATGCTCGGAGCTAACAACAACAAAAAAAATCACTGAAACATCTTAGTAACCTCACTCTCTTTTAATCCGCCTATTTAATAAAAAAAAAAAATAGCCTATTTATACCCCAAAGTGACATGTAAAGAATTTTGGGGGGCTTTTCAGAGAATTTATAATTTGTCTTATAAGATGTCCAGGCATACCACTGGTGAAGTTTGCAGGTCAAATCACACCCATTTATTGTAAACTGGAAAAGTTATACAAATACTCTGTTAACATATGCACAAGTTAAATTTCATCATACCACGAAAAATACTCTTTCTAAACTTGCCACCAAGCTATGGCTGAGTCATGTAGCTATAACAGTAAAAAAAAGAAAGTTATAGCTCATAAGAAAACACTTTAAAGAAACTGATGGCTTAAACTTTTATTGCTTTACTGCTATAAAGGGTATAGAAAAGGCACTATATCTCAAAGTGACTTTTTAAAAAGAAAAACTCAATTCTGAGCTCTGCAAGTACGTGAAATTCAAATGCCAAATTTAATCAAAATCAAAAATGTGATGCAAAAATGTTTTTGGAAATTTGGTGAATTAAAATAGAATGACTCACAGAGAGTACGCAGGTACAGCACCCAAGATAACTTTTAAAAAGTATACAAAATATGAGTGCTAACATATGCTATTATATGTCTGTGAAATTACAGCTTAATTAGTCACTGACTCACAAAATATGACCATTAAAACCTGAAAAAATTAATTGCACAAAAAAGCTATCTGATATAAAAAAGGCCTATTATATTCCTTAATTGAAAGGAATATCTATGAATTCTATAAAAGAAAGCGACAGGTGCCAAGGTGGCTTAAAGGAAAGCACACTGAGGAGTTTGATTTCTTCCCGGACAGGTAGCATGTACAGCATATTAAGTATTTCCAACATTTGTGTATTAATAGGTTTCCTTGACAAGCGAAAACAATGAGATTAGATGAGCTAGTGTCCTATGACAGTCCAAGAACCAGTGGCAAAGTGAATTGCCTCTAGAGCGGAATTGCCTAGTGTCTGTGCCCCTATTTGCCTTGTTTCTTGGGAGAGATTCCAAATTTGCTGTGATTGCAAGTTATTATGCAAACTGGATGGATATAGAAATTAATAAAGCAACCTCTAACCAAAAGGAAACAAACTGCTCCAATAGCCAGCTTTTTGAAAATTGATACCTGAATTTACTTAGTTTACTAATTATTCAACATTTTAAACTAAGTAAAAACAAGTAAAATTCACATTAAATTTTCAAGAATTAAGTCATATGAAAATCACTGGCTTTATTAGCTATAACAAGTATTTATTTCTAAAACATAATTATCTATATTTGTACACTTATTGACTGGTTGGCCTATATAATTATATTTTGACTAGAATTTCAACCACCTACATTAAGTGACCAGTCAATAGAAGTTTACCTAAACCATCAGTTTCTTCAAGCAATTAAACATTTTTATGACACTATATCTAAGGAAACAGCTGCTTGCCTACCTTTCCATCAATACAAATGACACGTTTGCCTGTAGTTGTCCCATGCTCAAATTCGATTCTATGGACCCCATCACTCAGAGCTACTTCCCAAACACCAACCAGGTCCCCAGACATTCTCTTTTGGTGACAGCACTGCAAAGACTAGAAAATAAGACAATTATTGAATGGTTATGTGGGGTAACTCTATTCCAGTTAAACTGTCTCCAAAACCAGAATCATATTATATTTCTTTATGGGCAGAGCCATCCTCTGAAAAACTCTGATAGAGGGTACAATCCATCATTGCACAAGCACAAGTACTTCTGGTGCTCTGTCCTTGTAACAGAAAGCTAATTTGCGGAGGCATAAGGTAAATAGGCTTACTCCATCGAACTGTCAGAAACAATTTATCAGTTGCACAGCAGTTTGTCTTAAACGTACTTCGTAATAGAACAGAACATACAGTAGTTAACAAAAACAAGATACATCTACAATACAAAATACTGAATGTCTGATTTTCAAATGCGAGATCTACTGTACATCGATCACAGCTACTAATATACAAAAAGGTGCAGTGACAACAAATCTGAGATGTTGATCTTAACAAGAAAACTGCCATTGACCTTATAATAGAATCATTAGGGATAACTTTATCACTTTATTATTAATTCAAAGAATGACATCCGATGCGAATTCATTCGCGTGTGTCGTAGCTACAGGTAAACAACAGTAATGCTAACATCTTTTGGCAGGTCTCTTTAGCTTTACGAAAATCAAGGTGAAAAGACGAGTATAAAATACTGAGGAGAACGATAATTTTCTTAAAAGGTCTTACTTATTGCATTCACGCAGTCCAAACACGAAATAGATATAACTGGTCCTTGATGTTGGCGTCTGTATAAGGGAAGGAAACTGTCACTATAGAAACCGCAAGACACCAGCGATTTACCAAGACACTACTAACATATTCCAGTATCAGTTAACTAAAATATATCATCATGTTTCGATTACTGTTTTGTATTTCAATTCAATCCTTAAAAACATACAATTATTACATTCATGTATCACACACTTTTGCAATAGAGATTTTCTCGCGAGATACCGAATAAAAACTACAGACAGATTTTGGGTTTCGCCTTTGCTTTTGTACTTTTTGTCACTGTCGTCAGTACCCAGCGTCTGGCTCTGGCCCGATTTGCAGCACTCACGCGCATGCGTACACTGTGACACGATATGCCGTCCTTGAGCAGTATGGGCCGCGCATGCGTACTGTCGCAACCCGATCCACAGGCCTTACCCAATTTGCAGGGCGAATGTGTGCCATTGTGATGCATACGTATGCTACATTGCGTAACGTATTTGATCGAAGTCTGTACCGAGTAAATATTTAACTGCATGTCATATGACGACTTACGAAATATCAGTTTTGCAGAACTTAATACAGGGCACAAGATTTACAACAATAATGATAACAGAAGTTACAAAAATAATGTATGAATGCAAAAGCAAATGATACTGTATATTCTGGAGGTGCTAGGCAAACATTTCTGTCCATTACTCCAGTATGCCCCTCCTTCTTTTTGTCCTATTCCATAATCATAGTAAACTCAATTTCACTAAGTCAAAAAGATATTCATAATGAATTCTGAGATATTTACAGGGTACATGTGTTTATTTCAAATACTAATGAAGAGTGCTTTTCTGCTGTACTCAGGATTGGTAAGGAAATAACTGTTCAGTCTCCTGCTGTAATATCAGTCCTCAACTCTGGGTGAAATTCCACCACAGGATTACTAAAATGAGTCTCCTTAATGGAAAGTCATGTGTTTGGACAGGATACAGCATCTGTGGCTTTCTTTAGAGCTGTCCCAAACTTGTACCATATTGTACAGAGATCCAGAGACAGAAACAAGACATGCTGGGGATTACATGTAAGACCACCAGAAGGATCGGGATTGCAATATAATGGTTATTGAACATTTGCAATAATTGAAATGTAACCATTTTAATTGCAAATTAAATAGTAATATAACTAAAAGGTGGGAGGACAGTTCATTACATAGTCTTGCATGACAGGTTATATTAGCTCCGTAATATAAACAAGAAACAATGTTTTGTGAAACATTAAAGGTGCAAACATGGTCCTTAGTAGCTTTGAATATATTTTGACAGCAGCGGTAAATGGATTTTTTTATTCTTGCATCATTATTTAAGGGTGGATTACTATATAGGCAGAAAAATATGCAACACAGGCATTCGATTACTTTCTTGGCAGCTGAAAACCTTAAGTTAATTTTCCTTCTCATTTAAATTTTTTTCAGAATCACACACTGGCAGGGATCATTTAGTACACTTTATGTCAGAAGTAAGGTTAGGGTTGTGCGATTTGATGTTATCATGGGTAATTGGTGAAAACAGACAGGTAACCCGGTGTCTATGTCTGACAGTGATTGATAGATGATTGTAACATTTGCTAGGGAGGTAGGCTTATAAACAAAGCAGGATAAGTCATGTGTCATTGTCATGTGGCTTTCAGTTCAGCCTAGTAACCTACATTTCTGGCACAGTTTGAAAAAAGAAAACATGGCTATATAGCATTATACAAGCATTGCCAGTTGTAGTAATAGTTTGTTCGATATCCTTGTATGTTGGGAAGTTCTTCGTTGTCACATGACCAATTTCTGCCTTCCAGTCAGCAGCCAGAATGTCAGCCATTCACATGCAACTTCCAGGTGGGAATTATGAGATCCTCAGCTTTTGTGGATGATTGAGCAAGACAGACATTTACCATTGTTAATTCCCCTTCAAGATAAGTAAGACAAGTCATGAATTGCTTTTTACTACTCCTTTCATTTATGGGAGGTCTTCAAATAGTAAAAAATAAAGAACCATCCGCACATTGCCCATTTTTAGATTAACTATATGACTATTGATTAGTTTTAAAAGCATCTCAGTTGTTTTGTTCAAAACTGCCTATTTTTATTAGTCTAGGCATATTATATTCACTGTCTTGGCATCGGTCTCAGTTGTTGAATTTCCATTGCTTCATAGCCTATATATACCTTGTTTGAACGTAATAAGGCAAATTCTCTGGCTTTAATTGCTCTGAATATAACATTATACCAAACTGGAAATACACATGGAAATAAAGAAATAAAAATTATGCAGGCATGTAAAAACACTATCTGCCAAAATGAAATTTAAAAAATGAAATGGCAATAAAATAATTAAATTAAATTGCCATGAGTTTTCTTGAGTGTGGCTCAACATGTCTCAAGGAAAAAAAAGCAACTTATTTTATTTTTACAACATTAACGATAGACAGATTTGTTCTTCTTTCAAATGTTTCAAAAGTCAGCATATGCTTGGAGTGTCCTAGTGCTGGTATCACAACAGCAGTTTGGTCACGAAAACAATCAAAACCACAATCGTTTGTTTGATCGTAAGCCTATATAGTTTTTAAAGACCTTGAAAAGTCACAAAATATTTAGGCTAAAGGTCTAGGATATTGATATTGGAATATTAGCCTACAGTATTCCTAACTTAGGTTATTGACAGGCTACAATAGGCATATAAAAAATGATAGACCTACCACTAACCCTAAGTAGGCATATAAAAATGATAGACCTACCACTAACCCTAAGTAGGCAAATATATTTTATACACTTTTTGTAGGATAAATTTCAACCTAAATGAAAGACTAAACAAAGACATGGAACAGAAGAGAGATGGAGTTAAATAATGAAGATGATTGGATATTGCTGCAATGATTTGGCTAGTCTAGGTTGCATATAGGCCTAGGCTATTTCTACATCTACACAGGTTTTCTTGCTAGAAAAACTAGCCTGTTGACTGTACATCTGGTTTGTGGAATGAAATGACAGTGTCACCCACTGTACTAAAAACTATCTGACTGCATGCTTGTCACACATATGCAGAGAAACTTTAGGCTACAACAGAGAAGAGAGGCTTTCAGGTTTCGTTATTCCTCCACCTGACAAAAGGACTCTTCTCCTCATCAAATCACTTCCAACAGATAAACCACAAGTTCAGCCTTGGCCTACACTTCTTTGCTTGCTAGGGATGGCAATTTCAAGCAGAATTTCACCAGTTATTACTCAAATTATATTTGACCACCCCCACCACACACAGAGAAACGTGTATGGAGTATGGATCAAAATATATATATTTCTTTCCACACAAAATGGGAATTTACTCGGTGCTGCAAAAGGACAACGCAAAATATTAAAAAGCAGCTTAATGGCATATTCCCTGGGAAATTACATTAAATGCCAATTTCTCAACACTTCAATCCTAACAATACTTCTCTGGCTTATATCTACTTCATGAACTTAATTGCAAACAAAATGAAACAAAAGAGATAACAAAAAACAATTAAAGTAGCCTTGAAAGTAGGGCTGAACCATATTTGAAATTTTAGTGATAAATAGTATGGTATAGATTGGACAAAAATGAGTTGAAAATTTACCAAAAAATAAACTATAGCCAAACAGAACTTGTTATAATCTACCAATAGAGTGTTTTTACTTGGAAAGGCAAGTCAGTAGTTCACATTCTGGGTATCTTGCAAAAAATTCTCCACTGGTACACTGACAGTTCACTCTTATGTAAAATTTTATTAAGAATGAATTTCACAGAAAATGAATTTCAAGAGCATTTTAAACAACAACCATGGCAAACTAAATGTACTTACAAAATTAACAGCAACAGCATAATCAGATTCTTTTACACATGTTGTAAAAAGTTGTGCCAACAGAAACAAAGCAGTGCCAACAAATCACTTGCTTTTGCTCTATGGAAAGACAAATGTCTTTTGGTGATCAGTTCTTGTTCACTCATTTTTGTTGCACTTCTCACAAATACGCGACACTATAAGTGAGAAAGGAGAAAAATGATGGCTCAGAGAGTGCATGCAAAACAAATAAACATTTTGACTGAAGGGTCTGATCCTTATCAATGTAGTACGTAAGGTCTAAGCGTCCTGGTCTGTGATGCTAAATATGTGCAACTTGAAAATTTCCATCTGCCAATTAAAAAAATTACTATAGAATGACTGAATTGAATGGATTATAGATCCAAATGTATACAAGCTTATGCTAATTTCACTAGTTTTTGATGCTAACATAGCACGGCTATTCTCACATACCTGCTAGCAGAAATGAGCACATTGTAAATCATGATGTACACCATTTGAACAGTAAATAATCGTCGCTTCAGTTTTACATCATTTTCGCTCTCCAAACCCAGCAATACTTTTGTGCAGCCACCCCTTCTGCAGTGGAAAACCGAAATGATGTGTAACCATGCTGTATCTAGTTTCTATTCATGGTACAGGTGTGGTATCGTCTGGTTCTTGTATGCCAGTGTAGTTTGCAATCCTGATGTCTGTCATCCCTTTGGTCTTCTTGTACACGTCTGGGATCAATGTTTTGTGCAAAATATTTTCAACTGTAAGTCATACTGATGGTCAAATGTCAGCAGCAGTCAGTTGGAATTCTGGCTTGTCCACAAGGTTCAGCATTTCTTTCACTAGGAATCAAGTGTGCATTGAGACCACCTAATTGAGATTTAGCCAATGTTTTTTGCACCTCTTTGCATGATTGCAAAGCTACACCCTAGAGCAGCATTCTCAACACTATAGCAATTTTGCTTATGAGAGCAGAGATTCATTGTACTGGAATTCTTAACTTTCACATTTTTCCTGCAGAGCTGACAGACTGGTTCTGAGTGATTCTCTTGTCAGTTAAAATCAAAGTATTGTCAAACGGCTTAATTTTTTGAACACGATTTATCGTCCTTCACAATGTCTCCACTCTAATGTAAGTAGCCAACTACAAAAAGTGACACCACATCCATTATGCCCAGTGTTCCCTTTTTTAAATTCTTGTGCACTTTGAATCTTTTCAGTCTGCGCTAAATTTATTTACTTATCTATAAATTAAATATGAAGTTGTGACTATAAGTCTCTGTTCAATAAACCATTCTGTCATCCATATCCATACTAATATTCATATAGCCATTAATTGAATTTATTGTTCCAAATTTCACTCTCTTTATTTGTACAATGCAATTTATTACTATTTCCTGTAAACTCCCTATTGTACTATTGTCTTGTTTTGTTGTTTTCTCTACTGCTGTTGTGGGACTTTGCATTAATCACTTGCACTCACCACTTCACA